AGTCGCCGTTTATATTGTTGGAAAAAAAGGTATTTGCAATGAATCAGCCAACAAGTAGGAGCATTTTATGAAGACACTGGGGCCAAAAGGGAGTTCAATATCTTAAGACATGGGTTCCAAAGCACCATGGAAAAGGTGGCTCATGGGGAGGGGTAAGTCAAAGTGAAGACATCTAGAGCAATATGGGGACCACAATATGGAAAAGTATGGAAAAGAACAGAGGCTACAATTGTTTCAGTATGTATCCCTAACACCTAACACAGAGCCTGGTAGATAATAGGTCAAGGCCTGCAGAATGGAACTGGTGTCAGGTGCTCGCAGCTTGGACAGTGTCAAGATGATGCTAGAATGCAGGAGTGAGAGACACAGTGGGATTAACCAACTTCAGCACTGAAAAAGAACCTTCTGGAAGCTCCAGTGCTGAGGCTGTCGGAGTCTATGAAGTCTGCCAAGGCTGGACATTTGAAGTGTGTGTTCGGGCGGTCCACAGCCCCTTGGTGAGAAATTGCTGACATTGTTAAGGCACCTATGAAGAAACTCTCCATCACAAAGGACTGGGCTTGTCGGCTGACCAGAGCCGGGCCAGGACTCTCACTTGTGGCGCAGAGAGCAGCTGTCCCTGGTGGCTGGGGAGATCTGGGCTTCTCTTAGAAGCAGACAACTGAAGAAATCCACTTGGTGACACAAGGAATCTCTGACTACCTTCAACTTAAAAGAGAGCAGGCACATGGTGCAAGAAGTAGGACATTAACTGGTAATGAACAGAAAAACAGGCCTAGAAACCTGTGGGGCTAGCATCAGAAAGGCAAAGGCTCAACACAAGCAGAGGGGGGGGAACGTGAAGAAAAACAAAAGGCCTTTTTAGGCTACCATCAGTAAAAAGCAAGGGAGAAAGGTCAACTGCTTCAAGCACTTGGTATACAGTAGGTAACAGAGAATGTAGAACTGCTTATGTTCAATTTTCTCTGTTAAAGGGAAGATTTTTCAAACAGCCAAGTGTCGAAGAAACAAGGTTTGGCAGGCTGTGAACCTCAAGACAGGTATTCAACAAATCCAAGTCTTCAGGTCACAACAAAGTATATATCTTAGATTAACAAATGGGATTGTGTAACTACTAGCAGTGACATTTGAGAAACCATGGGAAAAGAGGTAGGTAAACGTGATTCCTATTTTCAAAAATAGGAAAAAGGCTTATCTCTGAGTCTGTAATTGGGCGCATTCAAAGAGATTAAAGCATCAACAGATATATGTATTAAATGCCTATATGGGGTTAGACATCATGCTTTTCTGGTACGTTAGCTCATTTAATGTGACTTCCTAGACAAAAATTGAGTGGATTATTAATCATTCATTCATGTATTCATCGTTTCACTGAGAACAAGTCATGCCAAGCTTACATTTTCTTTTTTGGAAGAGAAACATAGTAGACAGTAAGACACTTTACAAAGTATTTTGGGATTTACCGAAGAACAAACTGGAGACCTGTCGCCTGGACGATAATGTGCTTACAGAGTCCTCGTAAAACAGCCCCGTCTCGTTCACTGGTGTAGCCCCAGAGCTACGACAGTGCCAGGGTCACAGTGAGCACTCTTTAGTTGCTGAATGAGGGATCACTCATAGCTGACTTGAGTGTCAACACCCAAAGACCGTTAACTAAGTGCTCCAGGTCATTTTCTGGTATGGGGTTTCTAGTGATGTTCTGAGGTTGACCTTAACCTAGTCCTGTTCAACATGTGACTCAATAACGTGGATGAAGACAACTTATCAAATTCATAGATAATACTATAGGAAGGGCAGCTAATTTATCAGAAGACAAAAATCAGGATTCAAAAAGATGTCCAAAGCTAGAATTAAGCGAATTAACAAGATAGGATTTAAGAGGATGAAAAATAAAGTCCTGTACATGAGCTTAAAAAAAATCAACAGCACAATGACAGGATGAGGAAAATCTAGTTTAAGAGCAGTTCATCGATAAGAATTGAGAGCTTTAATTTTTGCAAGCTCCGTAAGAGGCAACAGTCTGACACGGTGGTCAAAAGAGCTAATGCAATTCTAGGCTGCATTAAGAGAAAGCTGATGTCCAAGCAAGGGAGAAAGTACCCAATGTCCTCTTCACTAATAATATCTTTGAGAAAGGTACTCAGTTCTGGGCATCGCATTTAAAAGGATCAATAACTTGGAATTGTGTGTGATGGGGGGAAGGGTGGAATCTAGGCTAGGGAATGCTCTAGAAGCAAGACGAGAAACTGAGGGAACTGAGGATGTTTAACGGGAAAAAAAGACTTTGTCTGGGGTAGAGAGGGAGCAGGGTACAGCACAATCTATCTTGAAGTATGATACGCTGTCTAATGGAGAAGGGATCTGACTAGAATGGCAAATGGATTTCCTCTCTTGAGCTAATTTTTTTTTTATTGTTGTAATTTAAATGAAGTTTACATTTCAAGTTAATCTCCCATACAAAAATTTATACATACATTGTTATGTGACTCGAATTGCTCTCCCCATACTGTGACAGCACTCTCCTCCTTTCCACCCCTGATTTCCCATGTCCATTCAACCAGCTCCTGACCCTCTCTGCCTTCCCATCTCACCTCTGGACAGAAGCTGCCCCTTTGGTCTCTTGTATCTACTTAAGCCAAGAGGCACACTCCTCACGAGTATTGCTTTATGTCCCACAGTCCAGTCCAATCCCTGTCTGAAGAGTTGGCCTCGGAAATCGTTTTAGTTCTGGGCTGATAGAGGATCCAGGGGCCATGCTTTCCGTCTCCTGAGCTAATTCCAATCAATCGATAATGACTGCCAGGAGCCAGTGCTGAGGAGGATTCTGAGACTAAGTGCAGTCAGCAGGAAAGATTGCTGTGATCAATTATCCATGTCTGCTAGGGGTTTGGGAAGGGCAGTGCCTACACGAGTGCCAGGTATTTGCTATCTCTGGATTAGACAGCCTTACTCCGACTCAGACCTACAGCCCATGAAGCTACAAGGAAAGACATCTGGCTCGTTGTAATTGAAAACTGTCTAACAATTAAAGAACTATCAGGCTGCCTTGTTAGATGGTTAACTCCAGCCAACCCCCCATCACTAGAAGTATTTAAGGGGAGGCTGGAAGACCACCAGTGACAGAGTAGGATAAACTCAATGAACTTTGAGGTTCCTTCTAACTCTTAAGAATGTTAAGTTGCAGACAAATGCAAGATACAACTCATGGACTCCCTTCCAAAGTCACCCATTTTTAAAACAACCCTCTTTACATCCTCTAGAGGAACAGCCAGAATATGGCTTTGTGTTCCTCACAGCAGTGTTTCATTTGTTCCATAGACCTGGGGCTCCAATACTAAGCACAGAACATGTCTACTGCAATGATGAGGAGCAGTCTGAATACTGTTAATGTTTCTCTAATGTAGAAAATGGAGCCCTGGTGGTGCAGTGGTCAAGAGCTTGGCCTCTAACCAAAAGGTCGGCAGTTCGAATCCACCAGCTGCTCCTTGGAAATCCTGCGGGGCAGTTCTACTCTGGTTTTGGTTTTAATGTAAAAAATGTCCATTCATATTATATAAACAACTCCCCCACCCCCGAGTGAGGTTATACTAGCTTTGGAGAACATTTCATCTAACTCTATTTAACTTTGGGACCAAAGGTGGGTCAATGGGCAGATGCCTTTTAAGAGTGGGCAAGTGATTCTACTTTTAACAGTATCTACAACGTATTAACATCTTTACAGAACACAGTTTTCATCATTTCACTATTCTGCTCCAAAGCCTTAATGCTTCTCATCTATAGGATTATGTACCAGCATGCAAAATGTATTTCTCCGTCGCTACACACTTTTTTTCTTAACATTATTATTCCACCTCTGCTAGAGTTGACTGGGGTCATTGTTTTTTTCCTCCCAAACTTACTTTGATTGTCTCTACTACAGAGTTATTGTTCTCATTTCTCTCTTCATGCCTGGAATGCTCGTCCTGATTCTGTGTATGCAAATCTTACCCATCCTTCAAAGTCTCAAGTCCCTCCTTCTCCATAAGTATTTCCTAACACCAACCTATAATGTTCTCCACCTCCTATGAAGTCCTGTCACTCTAGTTGTCTCTTTAAGACTTTAAGCTTTTCACTGCCAGGGATCGAAATTCATTGTACAGGGCTTTGCACAAAGCAGACACTGACCTGATTTTGTCGTCTAGGACTTAGATACCTTATACCCACAGCACACACTCCGGAGCTCACTGCCCCCAAGACAGTCGTGCATTTCTTACTCCTTTGCTCACTTTTCCCCTTCCTGCGATGCTCTCCTTTCTGCCCACCATGCAAATCCTACCCATCGAGGTCGTGATGAAGTCACACTTTTTCCATACAGGTGTCTCTGATCACTTTCATTTTCAACCACTTCTTCTTTCCAAATTCTTTACTCAGTCTACAATGTATCTTAGTTCTTATCCGGTCCTCCGACTGTAGTGTAATAATGTTACTTCTCGTGAGATTGGTTCCTTTTCTTTTTAATTAGATTTAAGCATCTTGGGGATCAGGCTCACCTTCAGTTCCTCACAGCACGCACAACGGTGGGTACTCAATAAAGTGTAGCTCAGTGGTTCTAAACCAGGGGGTGATTTTGCCCTCTAGGGGACATTTGACAATGTCTGCAGACATATGTGGTTGTCACAACTGGGAATACGACTGTCATCTAGAGGGTAGAGGCGAGGAATGCTGCTAAACATCCTACAATGCACACGACAGCCCCCCAGAACAAAGAGTCATCTGGCCCCAGATGGCAATAGTAGCGCGGTTGAGAAACCCTAGGATAGCTGCATGACCCGATGAGCGTTCGCAGGTGTAGATCGGCTAAGTGAGCTCAGACGGAGTCAGCGGGTCGGGGCTGGGTGGGTCCGGCCCGGCTGCCCCAAGCCGGGACGGAGTGGAGGGACAAGTCCACCACCTCCATCAGCCGGGGTTCAGGGCATCCCCCAGGGCCCCGAGCGCCCGCCACCCACTCGCTCCATTCCTACCTGCAGCAATAGCCAGACAGCAGAGGAGCCCAGCTAGATCCCGCGGCGGAGACCCAGGCTAGGCAGCCGCAGCTAGGACTTTCGGAACAGCCCTCGCGAATCTCGGCGGTTACAGTCTCGCGAGATGTGGGCGGAGCTCCAGGCCCGCGCCTCGCAGCCGGGCGCATGCGCCTAGCGGTCTAAGTGCGGGCGCTCGCTGTGGCGGGCTTTTGGGAGGGGTGGGATGCGGTATGAGCGGTGAAAACGCCCGGTGCTGGCTCCCCTGCTTCTGTGTCCTCTCTCCCCGTCCGCCCACCAGCTGCCTTTGAGGGTCGCGCCTGGGCAACCACCCCGCCCACCCACGAGAACCGCGGAGAAAGGAAATGCGCACCTTTCTCCGAATTCCTAGTTCGAAGCGCGGGGCAGAGCGTTCTGCTCCCTCGTTCCTTCCGAGCCCCCGGGACAATGGAGGGCTCTGAGGGCCGAGATGCCCCCCGCGACCCGGGCCTGCAGCCGGGGATGGGCCTCGAACTTGGGTTGCGGCGGGCGGGCGGGGCGGCCGCGGGCGGAAGCACACACCTGATGGCTCAGGTAGATACCGCGCCCCTCCTCGGGACACGGGCGGAAGTGAAGCCTTCTGTTTAATTCGTTAAAGTCCTTTCCCCGCTGGGCCACCTCCAGTTTCCTTGGAGGCCACGGCCTGGGTACAGAGATTCCCGGCCCCTGGGCCCACCAGGTAACCCGCGCTGCGTTTTCTCTTCCAGTCCCCGATGCCTCCCAAGCCTGAGGGCCTGAGTCAAGATGAACTGCGCAAAAGGCTGTACCAGACGTTTAAGGATCGGGGTATACTGGACACTCTCAAGGTATCAGCTTTAGGTATATGTGTTGTATAACTTTTACAAGCATAATCCTCACCAGGTAGTCTCCATTTGAAGTCATCCAGGTCTTGGATAGTAAAAACAGGATGATATGCAGCTTGTGCTGGTGAATTACATTTATATGATGCTGTATAACTCTCCTGGAATAATAAAAGTTTCTTGAAAATAGTTTAAAGAGATTGAGTCTTTTTAAAAGACCATATTCAAATAATAGATTCATTGAACTGACTTTAAGATAGGAGAGGGTAATGTTTATAAAATGAACATATTTTAGTAAGGTTAGGCTTGTTTTATTAATCTAACTTGCAGGTTCCTGAATCAATACGTGTTTTATAATATCACATGTGAAAGTGTATCTTCATAAAACCTTTGAGTTTGCTAATTGCTCTCGTGCAGGTGTTATTTCCCTTTTGGGGACCCAACTTTATTTTGATCAGTATGCCCAATAAACTGATTTGACCCAATGTATTTTCATAACGTCCGACAAACCACAGAGATGTGATGAAGTGACAAATTTCTTTCCTATACTTGATATCCTGATGTTAAGTTACTGAAACGGGCTCATAGGAAAGTGAAGTCCACAAGGATTCTGGTAACCACCAGTTCATCTGGAAGCTGGTGAAAGTTTTGTCCGGAACCTGACGGTGTGCAGGGGATAATTCCTAACTTTTGGCCGTGGTTCTTGATCCATTCTGGAAATAAAAGGAAGGGTTCTAATTAATGTGACCAATGTGTGTATCTAGTGAAACAATCCTGCTGAAAAAATTTTCCCTCGTTTCTTCTTTTTGAGCTAGACGCAACTCAGAAACCAGCTAATTCATGAGTTGATGCACCCTGTTTTGAGTGGAGAACTGAAGCCTCAGTCCATTCCAGTGGAAGGGAGCGCGCTCTTAATAGGCGCTTCCAACTCTCTTGTTGCAGATCACTTACAAAGATGTGGCTATGAGTATTCACTTTCTGTTTTTTTTCCAGAGAGTGGTTTGGCAAAAGAAAAGGTAAAGTCTTCCCTTTTCTATTTTGAATTTTCTCTTAACAGCTTCTTCCTCTGATAATAGTAAAGTGCTGCATAATAGCTAAGTGCTCCTTGACTAGCTAGGTCTATTTCCGATTTATCTCTGAGTTCACATCCTACCTGTACATACTATATTTGTTACGTACTGTAACAAATGTGTAATACATTTGATTATTAGTTCCTTGGTATCTCAGTTGTCTTTTGTAAAATGATGTATAGAATCACTGAATGTTTGGGGCTAGAATTAACCTTACATTCTGTGTAGTCGAATGTGAATCATAGCTGCCATTTATACCAGATGTCTACCTGTGCTTGGCACCGTGCTAGCACATTGCAGGTGTTCTGTGTATTACCCATGAGGAACCAGACTCAGGAGGTGAAGTGACTTGCCCAAGGTCACACAACTTGTAAGTGGCAGAGCAGGAAGTAAATCTAGATCTGTGGAGCCCTAGTGGTGTAGTGGTTAAGCTTGGCTGCTGACCAAAAGGTCGGCAGTTCAAACCCACCAGCCACTTCTTGGAAACCCTGTGGGGCAGTTCTACTGTGTCCTATAGGGTCGCTATGAGTTGGAACTGACTCAGTGGCACCTAACAACAACAACAAAAGTATGCCCTTTTTACTATGCTACAGTCTCTTCAGATATTTCCCTTCTTTGTATTTACATAAGAGAAGTGAGGGATGTGTAATTTTTAAAAATCTATCAAGTTCTCAAGAATTAAAAGGGATGTTTTATGTTTTACTACTTTTCTAATTATTTTAACTATATTTCTCCACCATTACTCTTTCAACATATTAAAAACCCAAAATCAAACCAGTTGCTATCAAGTCAACCCTGACTCACGGCGATTCCATGTTTGTCACAGTAGAACTGTGCTCCATAGGGTTTTCATAGGCTGATTTTTCAGAAGTAATCACCAGGCCTTTCTTCCGAGGCTCTTCTGAGTAGACTCAAATCTCCAACCTTTGATTAGCAGCTGAGTGCATTAACTGTTTGCACCACCCACAGACTTGAACATATTAGTCACATTTTATTATTTTAAAAGGTAGATATAGTAAATTTTCCTTACTCTATTTATTTCATTCTTAATTGTCCAAAACAAGAACAACAGCATTTGAATGAAAACTGAAGATTTAAATATGCTGTTTCTTCATTAACAACCAAATTTTATTCATCAGCATTAGAACTTCTTTTTTGGTCCATCAATCTCTTAAGCTTCTAATTACATTTCACAATTTTACTTGTTGTATGAGTACTAATCAATTATATAATTATTGTAGCAGTAGTCAATTCATTTCACACATTTAAGGGTTTCTACTAATATAAAATACCATACAGAGTATTTTATTTGAAGGAAACCAGCAGAAAAATTATATCAGTGTTCTCAAGGTAGACATAGTAAGCAATATGCACTGTAGGAGAAATATGTATTAAGAATAGCCACCCAAAATGTCTTGTTTAAAAATATTTTAGGTATAGGTATACTTTAGTCATTGATAGTTGTAAAGACAGTAAAATTTAGTTTATTTGCATTTCAAAACAGTAAGTACTTTTAAAAATTTACTGTAATTGAAAGACCATGGAAATCACTCATGTATTCATTGGTTCATCAGATATTTAAGTGTCATCTATAAGGTATTAACCATTTCTGTCACTTCTGTTGGACATATAATCTTTGTGAAATATTTGGTTCACCAATAATTATGTGATCAAGAAAAATATTTTGTCTTTTTAACCTCGATATGCTTATTGTAATTTATCTAGCAGTATTAGGAAAAGAGCTTCAATTTTGCATTATTAGAATTGTTATAATCTTATTTTGTATTTAATCTGAAGCATAATTCCTAATCTCATATTAGAAAAATGTCCTCGTTTATCATTTAAACATCCGTGCAAAAATATGTCTACTTGCTTAATCCTTTTTTTGTCTTAAGGTATTGACTATGCAGGATCTATTGCAACTCATTAAGATCAACCCTGCATCCAGTCTCTACAAATCACTGGTAGGACTGTTTAGTTTTTGTAACCTACTTGATTTGTTAATTATAACAGAATAGTTGAATAAAGAAGAAATATTTTCTTTTAACAGGTTTCAGGATTTGAACAAGAAAACCAAAAAGGTAGGAGCCTTCACCTTTGTGGAGAATAGCAACCTTTTTGTCACAGTCATGCACTTGTTCCTATAAAAGTATGAAACTAATGATTTTTAGGGGGAAGAGTAGGGAATTTAATTTGAATTAAATCATTTGATTCTTCTTCTCACAATACTGTACCTATTAAATAAACAAAACAATCCATTCTTCTGTTGTTCTGACAAATGTAGATCATTTCCCCCAAATTTCCATCTTTTTAATAACCCTTAGATACGCAAGTAAAACTGCAGACCGCATCAAGATCCCTACAAACAGATTGAAAGATATTCTTTGTAAAAATACTCACTGTTTGAAACATTTCTAAAAAAAAAAAAACAGTATATAGAGTATTAATGGTATTAATATTTGTTGAAAGTTTGAACTATCTGTTCAGTTATACATGCTATTATTATTGTTTTTATTCTTAAGTATTTATACGGGTTTGATAAATTCCTTAATTTTGGCCTTGATAATAAGCTTTCAAGAGTCCATAACTACTGTGGGTGCCAGACCATGGGTTAGACTTGACAGTGGGCTGAAATTGTAAGCAAACAAGATGCCCCTCAGTAGGTGAATGGATAAACTGTGGTACATCCATACAATGGAATACTATTTGAAAATGAAAAGGGATGCTGTATTGCGGGTTTGGCAAACAATGTCACAAAACAATTTGTGTATTAACTGTTTAGTGAGAAATTAATTTGCTATGTAAACTTTCACCTAAGATGCAATTAAAAAAGAAAAGATAGACTATCAAAAAAAAACGAAACAAAACCCATTGCCATCGAGTCGATTCTGACTCATATCAAGGCATGCACAAATATAAATGAATCTTAAATGCATATTGTTAAGTGAAAGAAGCCAGTCTGAGTAGGCTGTATACTGTATGATTCCATTTATATGACATTCTGGAAAAGGCAAAACTATAGAGACAGTAAACAGATCAGTGGTTGCCAAGGATTTGGGGTGGGGTAGGGGGTGGGGAATTAAATAGATGAAGCCCAGGGGAGTTATTTAGGGTGGTGAAAGAATTTTGTATGATAACTGTGATGGTGGGATACATGACACTATACATTTGTCAAAACCTATAGAACTTTACAGCACAAAAAGTGAACCTTAATGTATGCAAATTTAGGAGATCAGGTGATCCCAGGATGGAATGCAGACTGTGACAAAACAATGTAACCTTATTACAGATGTATGAAATAACCTCATTGGAGGAGCAGGGGAAAAGGTATTCACATAACTTTGGAAATGAGTAGAAACTGTTATGACTAAAGGCAAAGGGAACTGTGTATAAGCACTGTACTCCAGTTAATAAAGTTGGTTCCCATGGGGTACAGCTTAACAATTCTGAAACCTCTATACATGTGTACTGGAATTGAGCAATTAAGTAAATAGATGGCAGATGGTGGGAGCCATGTTTGTCACTGTTGGAGTGGGAGATTTCGGATAAGCAAGGAGAGGAGGCTAGAATGATCCATGTAGTAATGAATTAAGAGTTGGAGACATCAGTATGAACTCATATTGAGTTTAGTATAGATACAAACAGCTACATGTAGAAATATGTATAGGTATGTGTATATACACAGGTTAGTATACACACACGTTTCCTTGCTATGTAAGGTGAGAGGGCCGAGAGGCAGTGATAACCCCAGTAGCAGTGAGCACACCTAGTGTCCAGATCTTGGTTTCTAATGCCATTCTCCAATAAAAAGAACCAGGATTCCCTGGAGAAATGGTTGATTCTAGGGCAGGGGTGGAGATTATACGAGGTGAGCCTGGAGCATCTTGTAGTGCCAGAAAGTAAGGAAGTACTTTAAACACACACGACCACACTGAAAGAGCTCCCAATAGCCGAAGCTGAAAAATTTGAGCCACAAAATAAAACAGTATTGGATTATAACTATAAAATAACTATGAGTCCAAAGTGATATGAATAAATGATTGATCGATTAAATAATAGGGAAAATAGATTTGTTGGGAGGTTGTGGGGGGAAAGTAGAACCAATTAGGGACCTGTGAGAAGTACTGCAGAACCGAGAAAAGGTAACAGCATTAGAAATACTTAGGTGGAAGAACACATCTCGAAGATTATCTCCTATTGGGTTATCTGCAAAAGGTTTGGTCTTTTCTGTAGAGGAAGACAAGACCTGGCCTCAGCGAAACAGTAGCGCAAAGGGGAAGGCTGAACTGAAAGGTCAGGAGAAGAAGATGAAATACAGGATGGATGAGACAAAAAACTATAAGAAGACCAAAATGAAAGAACAAATTTTATATCTACATTGAAAAAAAAAATCAAACCTGTTGTTGTCAAGTAGTTTCCAACTCATAGCGACCCTGTAGGACAGAGTAGAAGAACTGCCTCATAGAGTTTCCAAGGCTGTAAACGCTGTAATCTTTATGGAAGCAGACTGCCACATCTTTCTCCTGCAGAGTGGCTGGTGGGTTCAAATGCCGACCTTTCACCGACCTTTTAATTAGCAGCACCTGAACGCTTAACCACTGCACCACCAGGGCTCCTCTGAACCGACTAAAGGTCTTATATTCCTTCCCAGCCCATACTGGTCCTGGAGCCTCTGTGGGGCAGAATCAACAGGTGGAGTTAAGAGGCTACAGCTGTGATTATTGGCAAGCAGTGGTAGGAAGGTTAGTCCAGCCCACTGCAATCGAGTAGATTCCGACTCATAGTGACCCTGTAGGATGGAAAACAACTGCCTCATAGAGTTTCCAAGGCTGTAATCTTTACAGAAGCAGACTGCCACATCTTTCTCCCCCAGAGCGGCTGGTGAGTTTGAACCGCCGACCTTTTGGTTGGCCACTGGGCACTTCTTGTTAGTAGACCAAAACCAAACCCGCTGCCGTCAAGTCGATTCTGACTCATAGCGACCCCATAGGGTTTCCAAGGCTGTAAATCTCTACGGAAGCAGACTGCCACATCTTTCTCCCTGCAGAGCCGCTGGTGGTTTTGAACCACCAACCTTCCGGTTAGCAGTGGAACACTTTAACCACTGCACCACCAGGGCTCCTTCATCTCTGCATTAAAAAACAAAAAAACTCCCGTTGCTGTCGAGTCGATTCTGACTCATAGGGACCCTACATTAGGGAAAGTAAAAAATAGTATTGATATGATGACCAATTGATTAAGGGATTTTAGCAGCAACTTGAGCAGTTCATCCAGCATGCAGAAAGAAAGGATAAAGAGGAAAATAATGTGAGAGAAGATAAAGGATACAAAGATCTAACATATGGGTAGTAGTTGCTAAAGGCAAACCAGCACAAATAGAGCAGATAAATCAATTTTTTCTTTGTAATGGAAAAAAGGTTTCCTGTGCTGAAGAAAAATTTATATTTATGGATTAGAAGGGGGATCCTTTGGTTCTAGGCAAAATCAATGAACGTAGACACATTCTTAAACTTAGGTATTACAAGAATCAAAAAATTTAAAAGTTCTACACATATTATGGAAAGAAAAAATTGTCTCCAAAGAAGTGTATATCAGACTGGCCTTGAACTTCTGAGGGGAAATAGTTGTGATTAAGAAATTTATTCTGAGGCAAATTGGCTTTTGCATGCAGTGGTTTCTGATACATCAGCAGTTAGCTCATATGTGGTTGTTAGATTGGGGAATGATGTCTGTATAAGGGGGAAGTTGTGTGGTTTATATGCAATTCTGTGTATGCAAAGGAAGCTAAATAGTGGAAGTCCGTGGAGAAGGACATCATGCTTGGTAAAATAGAGGGTCAGCGATAAAGAGGAAGACCCTCAATGAGATGGACTGACCCAGTGGCTGCAACGATTGTGAGGATGGCGCAGGGCCAGGCAGTGTTTTGTTCTGTTGTGCATAGGGTCACTGTGAGTTGAAGCCGACTTGACAGCACCTAACAGCAACGGAATGTTTAAGTCCTCAGCAGAAAAGAAAAAGCCCTTAACTTGGCTTATGCAAAAGTAGAAGTCCTTTCAACTTTGTTTTTAGGAAATTAAAAACTTTTAGAATAATTTATGTTCATGGTTTTTATTAAAAAGGTTCAAACAACTCAGAAGGGTTTAAAGCAAAAGAAAAATAGAAAATTCTGCCCGTATTCTCTTAATCTCACTCTCTACTGATAAACAGTATTAATAGTTTCTTGTTTATCCTTCCAGAGTTTTGTTTCTGAATATAAAACTCTTAATTAAAAAGCACGCACACTCATAAATGGGATCTTATCATAGATGCTATTTTGCAATTTGCTTTTTTAAAAATCTTTCTATAGCAGTGTCTTTAGACTGTCTAATCCTTTTTAAAGAATATATTTAAGTGGGGTGCAGAACTCAAATTCTAGTAAAAAGACCAGACTTAATGGTTTGACTGAGACTGGAGGACCCCAGAGAGCATGTCCCCTTGACTCTGTCAACCCAGAACTAAAAACTATTCCCGAATCCAACTCTTCAGACAAAGATTAGACTGGACTATGGGACATAAAATGATACTCATGAAGAGTGTGCTTCTTAGCTCAAGTAGATACATGAGACTAAATGGGCAGCTCCTTTCCAGGGGCGAGATGGAAAGGCAGAGAGAGGGTCAGGAGCTGGTTGAATGGACACAGGAAATCAGGGTTGGAAAAGAGGAAGGTGTTGTCACAGTACAGGGAGAACAATTAGGGTCACATAACAACTGTATATATAAGTTTTTGTATGAGAGACTAACTTGAGTTGTAAACTTTCACTTAAAGTACAGCAATTTAAAAAAAAATGTATTTAATTAGCTCCCTATTGATGGGGATTTGGTTATTGTTTATTTTTTGCTATTTGAAGCAGTGTGCAATATACACACCTTTGTGGCTTTGTGGAAGTATACCAAAACCAAACCAAACCCAGCCTGTTGGAATCGAGTCAATTCCAACTCATAGTGACCCTACAGGACAGAGTAGAACTGCCCCCATAGGGTTTCCAAGGAGTGGCTGGTGGATTCCAACTGCTGACCTTTTAGTTAGTGGCCATAGCTCTTAACCACTGTGCCACCAGGGCTCCTGTGGAAGTATAGCTGTATAAATTCATAGAAGTGCAATTACCAAGTTAAAGAACATATGCATTTTAAATATATGTATAAACTGACACATTTCCCTCCCAAGTGAATGAGAGTGCCTGTTTCCCCACTCCCTTGCCAACGCTTAGTAGTTCCGAAGTTTTAATCTTAGCAATCTGATAGGGAAAATATGATCTCTTCATTGTAGTATTAATTTGCATTTATTTATTTATGATTTTGTTTATGTTTATTAGACATTTTACATTTTTTTCCTGCAAATTGCTTGTCTGTGTCCATTTTTCTGTTTTCTCAGCTGATTTGCAAGAGTTCTTTGATATTAAGAAAATTAGTTTTCTGTTACCATATTGGAGCCCTGGAGGCAAAAGGTAGGCAGTTGGAATCCACCAGCAGCTCTTTGGAAACTCTATGGAGCTGTTCTCCTCTGTCCTGTAGGGTCACTATGAGTGACAGCGAGTTTGGTTGTTTTCGTTCTGGTCTTCATATTATTGTGTCTGTTGTTTCTAGTGTATCACTTGTCTTTTAACTCTTCATGTTACATCATGCCATATATAAGCTTTTAATTTTTATGTAGTTAGATTGATAAATATTTCTCCCTGTTTCTAGGTTTTGTGTTGTCGTATTTGGAAAGGCCTTCCCTCAGAAATTAATTAAAAAATAATGTTAAAATGAATAGTGTTATAAAACCATGAATATAAACAGTGAGCAATAGCTGAATGAAAATATTCTGAAATAAAATTGTATACATTATGTTTTTTAGGTTTCCTTATGCAGTTTTTAAAAGAGTTGGCAGAATATCATCAGGCTAAAGAGAGTTGTGATACGGAAACTCAAACAAGCCCAACATTTCCTAGCAAAGACTCTCTTGGTAATTATAGCCTTCTTTCATAAATAGAGTTCTTCTGTTTTCTCTTTGAAAAAATTTACCTGACTTCCATATTATGTGGATGTTCCTTAAACTGGAGGGATGCAACCTGCAGGTTGCCAGGAAATTCATTTCTTCCAGAATCGTATTGCTGGAAGGAACCAGGAATTGCTATAAAATGGTAGTAGGAATGGTAATAGTAGTGTCATCAGAACCTGTCCAGCTTTACGGGGGATAATGAGACTCACCATCAGCACAAAGCTGATTCCCATGAAGTGGAGGTCAGATGTACCTCCACTGTCCAACCTTTACCAGTTCTGACACTAGCCATCCCTCCTACAGCACTCTCTGCTTCTCTGCTGGGTTCGATAATCCGTTGAAATGGCCACACACAACTCACAGACCATATTTACAGTTAAGTGGTTTATTAAGGAACAGGGTACAACTCAGGATCAGGAGGCATGTAGGCAGAGTCTCCCTTCAGTACAGTACAGCTCCCTCAGCTCCTCTAGGCCCCCTCAGGACAGGCTCCTCTTAGCCCTGCCATCTGTCATTGCTGGCTCTGCTGCTGGGTCCCTTCCGGGCCTGTCACCACGGGCCCTGCTGCTAGCCCCTTCCAGGCCTGTTGCTCCTGGCTCTGCCACTGGGCCCCTTCCAGGCCTCTCACTGTCTTCAGTGTTACAGCCCTTGACCAGTGTTACAGCTCTTTTAGGAGGCTCCTTGCCTCCTCTCTCTCCCTCTCTCTGCTGCTTTCTGCTTTCTTCCTTCTGCTTCTTCCTGCTGTTTCTTTTCCTTCTTCTTTCTCTCTCTCAAAAACCTCTGTGGGGCTGGCTGTTTAAATACACAACTCCTTGTGAATTTCAAGGCATGGCCCACCTACCAGGGCCACAAACTGACTAATCCCCTCTCGGTAGGCCACAGACACTTCATTTGCATGGTAGGCTTGGCTGGGCTAAAACTTACCTCATTTGCATAGTCTTTTGACCAATCCCTGCAAGGTGCATACCAATCACAGGGCAAGCTGCAGCCTAGGATGAGACAAAAAGTGTCAAAACCAAGTTGTTTACAGCTTACCTAAGGACATGTCATCAACCTGGACAAAAATCACAAATCCTCTGGGGTAGAAAACTAGGGCTCAGGTAACTCTACAGGGTTTAGGGGAAGAATCTCTCAAGTTGTTTTTCCAAAGAACCAAGGCAAAAGGCCACAGAAAGGAACTTCATTTCACCATAATTGCTCACTAATGTTGCTTTCTATCCTTATGGGTGCTAGGGCTACATTTTCCAAATCAAGCGGGATCCCAAGATCCACATTCTTCCTTGTTTGTTGTGTTTAACCTCTCTTAACTGGGCAGTTTTTCCTTATGTCTTGTCTAAATTTATTTTACAATGACTAAGTTAGAAAATCATAGACTGCGTTGCAAAGAATTAGAGATGTTATTGACGCATCACTTCATTTTATAGTTGAGGAAACTGAAGTCCCAGAGGAAGAGCAACTTAGAAACACCCCATCTGTATCAGAACTAATGCGAGACTCCAGATTTTCTGGTCCATGGTCCAGAGCTTTTTCCATTGTACAGCCTTTTTACAGTACCATCCTTCTCTTTAGCTTTGTGCCTAGTGGAGATGGGAAACAGCTGGTTAAAATGATCCTTTATGTGATTATTGATTTCAAGGCCCTTCCTTACTAACAAATAGCAATAGTCCCTTTACCTTTTAAGAAGATAAGGAGTTCAAAATTTGTAAAAGCTTTATTCTATGACTTGGCCTTTAATTTAGGCAAGCATAGGTTCTATTCCATTAAAAACATAGTGCATGCGCATTATGGCGCATTGCTGTCCCATAATGTGAGCTGTATATATAATTTTAAATTTCTTGGTGGCCACATTAGAAAAAGTAAAAAACAACAAAACAGATGAAAATTAGTTTTAGTCGTATATCTTATTTATCCCAATATATCCAAAATATCGTTTCAACATGTAACCCATTGCCATCAAGTCGATTCCAACTCATAGCAACCCTATAGGACAAAGTAGAACGGCCCCATAGGGTTTCCGAGGCTGTAATCTTTACGGAACTGACTGCTTTTTTTTTTTTTCCCCCTCCCTTGGAGTACAAATGCAATGTTTTACGTTTTTTGTGCTAAGTCTTTGAAGTCAGATGTGTCTTTTGCCCGTAGAGCACATCTCATTTCTGTTTGGCCACGTTTCAAGTGCTCACTAGCCACATGTGGCTAGAGACTGCCGTATTGGTCAGCAGTTATAGAGCATGGAAAACTACAGAAAAGTGGATGGAAAAGCACATCTGAAGTTATGGCAACCAGAGACACCCATGTCAATATTTTGATCTGCTTCCACCAGCCTTTTCTGTGCATCCTTGTTTTTGGTGGGCGTTGGTGTACATCGTGGTTGAGATTACACTCTAGCTCCAAGTTTACATTCTGCTATGTGGTGAGTTCTGATCCACAGTTTGTTTTCAGACAACTGGACTAGTGGAGAAAACACTGGAATGAGAGACAGTCAACAAACCTTGTTTTCGTCCCAGTTTTGCCATTACATAGTTGCTTAACCCTCTGGAAATCACCTAAGGTATATGGGCGTTTGTTTCTTCATCTATATAGTGAAAGAGTTCATTTTAAGATCAGCATTTTGAACATGTAAGTCAATTTTCATCAAAGTCTAGTCAAAGAGCTCTCTGCGCTGACTGAGAGACTGGGAAGAGACTTCAGTGTTTTTTTGACTCAACTGTACTCTGGTTTCTTTTTCTCTCAACACTTTCTTATGAAAATTTTCTGACATACAGAAAAGTGGAAAGAATTTTACAGTGAGCATTTATATACCCACCACCTAGATTCAACCAGTAAATTTTTATTATACTTGCTTCATTGCTTATCTGCCCAGCCATTGATCGATCTTATTTTTTTGATGCATTTCAAAGTAAATGGCAGACATCCCTGCACTTTCCCCTAAATATGCTCCAGGCCCTTATGCAACTGACCATGCACATTTATGTATCCTAATTTGATGTGTTTTTTTTTTTAATAGCTGAGAAGCTTCGGCTTATTGATGATCAGTTTGCAGATGCTTATTCTCATCGTCCGAAGTTAGAATCTCTAGAAAGAAAGTTAAATGAATACAAGAGAGAAGTAGAACAGCAACTTCGGGCAGAGATGGTTCAAAAGGTAAGCTTTATCTTGTTGTTAAACAAGGGTAATACTTTTACTTGTCTTTTAATGTCTTAATCTTAAGTATATGGGAAAATACTTAGAACTTTTTTTAATGAATAGGCTACTATACTGTTGTGCATATTATTTTCATTTCTAATTGATGCCATTTCTTTATGCCTTTTGAATCAATCCTGCAGGTACAGTGAGTGAGCTAAAACTAAAGATGGATTAAAACTGAATATAATATATTTGGATAGAGCATTAATATTAAACTTAACAATGGTGAAAGAATTTGTTACTATTTGTTTAGTAATTGGTACTTAAAATTATTTGTGATCATTTGGCAGTTGAAGTATTTTAAGGATACTGAAATAGCAAAAATTAAAATGGAAGAGAAAAGAAAGTATGAGAAGGAATTAGCTGAGTTCCGGAATGAATTTGACAGAGTTTGTCAAGCAAAATCCGAAGCCCTCATCTCTCGGGAAAAGAATACCCTTGAGAGAATTCAGAAGCATCAGGAGGTAATATTTTAAAGTAATTTAATGGGTGGATAGTCCCTGCAGCTGGAAGTACATTGGCTGAAGGTGCAGGAGGAAGACGGGATAATTGATGGAACAAGGCCCCAGGGAAGTAGTAGGGACTGGGGTCAAGAGGGCAAATAGAAGGGTCAGCCTAGAAAAGGATACACAGACGTCCTTCTTCCCAGACTGGTGGAAAGTAAAGGATGGCAGACATGAATGTCGGAGTTGAGGTTATGAGAAGCTCTTACTCAACAAACTCCATCTTAGGCAGATTGGAGGGTGTGGCAGAGGGTTTGAGGAGAGGATGCCAGGTGTAGAATAGCTGCTTCTGGGCAAAGGAAGAGCAGCTGTGGAAAGCAGAGAGGCCTGATCAAGCCGTGCTAAGGGACCTACTGAGATGGGGAGCTTGGAATTGGAATTGACCAAACCAAGTGCTTTCAGGTGGGGTTTCTGTTATAGCTGGGGGCGGGGGGCAGGGGGGTTGTAAGGCCAGTGAGGGTGGAAAGATAGACCTGCTTGGGGAGTGGACCTTTATACAACTTAATTTCTTTTCGTGGAGAAAGTCAGTCTATTTTATTGAAGACACTGGGGTTCGAGTGGGTGGCAAAGGGAGCCAGAGGAGAGGGTGAGTAGCTGATAAACTAGGGGAAAGGGAGGGATACAGGGCAGTCTCGAAGAGATCGAAGAATAGATCTGGGGAGACTGACGGGTGGAAGAAGGAGGTGGATCAAGGGTGCAGAGTTGCAGGCTGAGGTTTCCAGACAAGATGGGAAACAAAATGCAGTGTCTGCCATTGGAGGGCGCTGTGGAAGTGGAGCTAAGGTGGGGTCCCTGGAGCAGAGTCCAGAGCGGGGGGAGGGAGGAGGCAGCCACGTGGCCCTGTGATCTAGTCACCTAGGAAAGTGACGGGCTACGAGGTGGAGGAGTGGCAGGGAGTGTGTGGCGGCAACCAGGATTGGATCGCTCCTTTAGAAAACCATGTTCCTTTCCCAAGGGCCATGTCTTAGCCCAGATGGGCTTTGTGGCACTGCTCCCAATATACATCTCAGACTACGGATAGCAGGAGATGCTGAACGGAGGGGGACTTTCCCCAGGTGTCCCCCCTCCCGCCCCCTTGCTTGGGTCTTCTCTAAAGACCTTGTTGTTTAATGATAATTGTACCCCCTGTACAACTTCATGTAACATTTCTGGCAGTTGGTCTGGGCTCCTTTCAGCCATAAAAATAAACATCTGAAGCACGCGTCTTTGAGATGAGAGGATTTTGTTTAGATTAACAGCTTCATCTTCAAGACAGGTGACTGACTAGGTCAGACCTACCAGTGGACAGGCCTGAATCCCCATCTAGTTAATGGATTATCTGAAGGTTTTGGAGAAGAGCCCATGAGATTACTATTGTCACCCTCATAAAAAGCACCTTGCCTTTATTCCTCCACCTGGAATGCCCTCCCCTTCTCTCCCTGAGAAAACTGCACTGTCCTTCCAGATCCGGCTTAAATGTCACCTCCTTAGTGACACCTTCCCTGACTCCCGCTGGCTGACTTATTCAGGCCACTTCCTAACACTTGGAGCCCTGATGGCATAGTGGTTAAGAGCTAAGGCTGCTAACAAAAAGGTCTGCAGTTTGAATCCACCAGCTGCTCCTTGGAAACCCTATGGGACAGTTCTGCTCTGTCCTGCAGGGTTGCTATGAGTCGGAATTGACTCAACAGCAGCGGGGTTGGTTGGTCCTACCACGTGGTCGTTAAGTGTTTCCATTATTAGATGATCACATTGGACTGTAGCCATGTGTTTGTTTCTCTCTCCCTGACTGAATCGCAAGCTTTTTAAAGGTAGGGGCTATATCTGCTCGCCTTTTCATATCCAGCTCCCAGGGTGCCGCTTGCCATGTGATAGGCGTTCAGTCATCCCTGGCTCTGTGAACATGCTTAATGGAAGTGTGTCTCGTTCATTCCAAGTTTTTGTTAGCCTGCTGCCCCTGAGCCAGAAGGACCTATGAACTGCACCATTCAGACGCCACCCTCAACAGAACCCTAAGGATTTTATTCTGTCGGTGTTTTATTACTGAAAGCACGTTTTCTTTTAATTTGTTCTTGTTGAATAACTTATGAAAATGTTAAGTGTCTGAGAGATGCCAACTAAATAAAACAGACCAAGATGTTGCGAATATAGTGTAACAGAGCATAACAGTCATTAGGGGAGGGGTAAAGTTTTGTGAAACTTAGAACAGGCCAAAAATATACCTTGAATTGGAACCTTTTGAAAGTGAAATTGTTACCCTGAATGCCTGTACTTGGATTGTTTTCTGGAATTTAGGAGGTAGGATATTAGTTCAAATCTGTTTTGTTTTCCTTAGCCTGCTTGCTAAAAGTTAATACTTTTCTGTACAGATTGAAACAAAAGAAATTTATGCCCAAAGGCAGGTTCTACTAAAGGATATAGACCTGCTAAGAAGCAGAGAAGCAGAACTGAAGCAAAGAATTGAAGCTTTTGAATTGTAAGTAACACGTGCCCATTTTGGATATTCAGAATGAATGAGATGCAAAAGCATTACTGAGTGAATGTATGTCTAAATATTCTAATGTTAATTATCAAGTAGAGGCCTTGGTTATAAAGGGTGGTATCACCTAGTTTAACGGAGCCCTGGTTAAGTGCTTGGCTGCTAACTGAAAGGTCAGCAGTTCAAACCCACCAGCTGCTCCTCGGAAGAAAGATGTGGCGGTCTGCTTCCGTAAAGATTACAGCCTTGGAAACCCTATGGGGCAGTTCTACTCTGTCCTGTAGGGTCACTATGAGCTGGAATTGGCTTGACGGCAATGGATTTGGTGGGTTTTTTTTTGGTTGATCACCTAGCTTTAAAAGGTACAAGAAAGAAAGGCTAGGGTTTTCGCTGTGGAAGTATTAGACATTAAGATGAAAAGCAGAATGAGAAGCCATCATCAAGCTACAATAAGACCAAACAAATAATTTGAAGACTAATAATGTGTTAACCAATCACAATTTGGACCAGTCATTCTGATCACATAGTTGCCTGTGTGTACAGGAACTGGATTCCAGAGATCCAGACCTGCCATGGTGACCTGCTCTGCTCTCAGAAAGGGAAGTGCAGTGACTCACTTGACTTGGACTGGGTGGAACTGTGTCTCGTGGTGTGTGGTAACTTATTTTCTGAGTCCTCACAAATATTTCCTCCTTCAGATTTTACCCCGGATTGATCAAGTTCTCCAGCCTATACTTTGTGGAATAAACCTTCTTTCCCATTTTGAATCTGCTATTAATTGATACCTCTTCCAATCCAGGAATCTTATTTCATTCCTGTCCAGGAATCTTGATTTATTCATTTCATTTCCATCCAGGAATTTTCTTGCATCTTCATTTGTTTCTTGTTTATATAGACTCAGTTGGTTTGATTTCTTCACTCTGTCTGCCTTACTCTCTTTTTGGAAGTCCTCAAGAGGTAAATTGATCAAAAGAGAGAAAAGGAATGAAATTTGGATATTGGTACTTCATGATTATATGATCATTTCTTTGCCTCCACTTCCCCATCTTCTCCCTCCTAAGCATTTAAACCAGGGCTTCAAACCAGTGCATTCTGGTTCGAACCCCTGCTGAGAATGTGCATTTCCATCCTAGAGATACTGAATCAGAATCTACATTTTTAACGAGATCTCCAGGTGATTCTTATGCTCTACGAGTAAGGAGCCCTGGTGGCACAGTGGTTAAGTGCTTTGCTGCTAACTGGAAGGTCAGCGATTTGAACCCACCAGCTGCTCTGTGGGAGAAAGATGTGGCAGTCTGCTTCTGTAAAGATTTACAGCCTTGGAAACACTGTGGGGCAGTTCTACTCTGACCTACAGGGTTGCTATGAGTCAGAATCGACGTAATGGCAGTGGGTTGGGTTTGGTTGGGCTCTACTGGTGTTCTCAGAATTGGTCCCTAACCAGCAGCATTAGCATTGCCCAGGACCTTGTTGGAGCCCTGGTGGCACAGGGGTTAAGAGCTTGGCTGCTAACCAAAAGGTCAGCAGTTCAAATCCACCGGCTGCTCCTTGGAAACCCTATGGGGCAGTTCTACTCTGTTCTGTAGGGTCACTATGAGTCGGAATCAACGGCAATGGGTTTGGTTTTTTGGGGGGTGGGGGAGAGGAACTTGTTAGAAATGCAGATTCTCAGCAGGGATTCAAACCAGTTCAGAGCCCTGATCTGAGCTAAATAAACCTAGTATATTGTTCTGCTGCTTTACAGATTAACCAGCAGAGGGAGCTCGTACATAGAGCCTTTATCCTTTTCTTGGAATAATCAGTGTTCTGTAGTACTTATCATTATGCCTTGATCTAGGCACCTGTGAACACGATTCCCCAGCTCTGGCCTTGGTTTTATGGTTAAAGTCTCTCTATGGAGACCACTTCATTCTTCTGTATTTGGAAGTCCTGATTGATCCATCTAGCTTTTGCTCTCTTTCAGCGCTCTTTTCAGTTTTCAATTAGTAGATTATGAAATGACAAAAATGAATCTTCTACTTTAATATCTATGGTTAATCAATTAAATTCCACATTGAAACAATAATGTAGAAGAAACAAGCATATCAGTACACTAACTTTTCTTTGTAACTAATAACATCATTCCTTCACCCCAAATAGATTAGGACCATTTATCCATCACCTGGTGGTGCAGTGGTTAAGAGCTCAGCTGCTAACCAAAAAGTCGGTGGTTCGAACCCACCAGCCACTCTTTGGAAACCCTATGGGGCAGTTCTACTCTGTCCTGTAGGGTTGCTATGAGTCAGAATTGACTCGATGGCATAGGGTTTATGACCTTTTTTTTTTTTCTTTTTTATTGTACTTTAGATGAAGGTTTACAGCCCACCCATACTGCCACTAAGATAGGACTGTCTAACAGTTTATAAATTAATCTACTTAGAGCTATAGTGCGGCCACCACCTGTCTGTCAGTGGAGGCTTGTGTGCTGCTCTGATGCTGAACAGGTTTCAGTGGAGCTTCCAGACTAAGATGGACTAGGAAGAAAGGCCTGGCAATCTACCTCCAGAAATCAGCCTGTGCAGACCCTCTGATCTCAGCGGTCCAATCCCGTTGTGCACGGGGTCACCATGAGTCGGTGTGTCAGACAGCTAACACCAGCAACAACAACATGGCCATCTAAGGTACTCCGCTGTAGCATCTGGCCCATACATAGTAAGGGCTCAGGTAATATTTATTGAATAAATGAAGGCACAGAGATGAGCTGACTCAGCTCAGCTGCTCTGGTCTTTCCTAATACAAATCAGCAGCTTCTGTTTCCTGCCCTGCCCATAATTTTTCAATGATATCCCCTTATTTTTTGCTAATTTCAGGTCCCAGAGGCTGCAAGAAGAAAAAAACAAAAGCGTGGACGATGCACTTAAGAGACGGGAGCTGAATATAAAGACTCTTGAGGAGACCTATGACCAAAAGCTCAAGACTGAACTTCTAAAGTAATTGTTGGGAGTTTTTAAAGAAGTACAGTAATGTATTTGAATTAAGAGATAGAACCATGTAAAAATACAACATCTGAGGTAACTTAAAACAAAACGGGACTAATAAGGCATAGCAGTCCAAGGACAATGACTAGAAGGCAGAAGGGGACAGGAAAGCTGTGCAAGCTGAGCAAGTCACAAGGTGCTCTACAAATTAAAGCAAATCACAGGTCCTCAAGAAATGCTAGAGAAGCAAAGGTTTCTTGAGGTCATAAGTCTTTAAAAGTATTCTGTTAAAAAAAGAAATACAACAATTTTGAAATGATGGCTTCTGTTACATATTTTATGTCAGTCCTTGTAACAGCAAGCACTGAAAGATCTGTCATTGTTAAACTTCTAGGAATAAATGACTAGAAACGTGCATGTTACTGTTACATAGCCATGTAGATAGGGCACTATTTGGCATCATTTTGACATTTTCTGCGGCATGGAAGATGTCTGGTTTTGGGTATCCTCATGTAACTTGGGCAAGTGTTGCAATTTGGAGGCTGTTCACCACAGGAGTGCGTCTTTTTCCTTCCTCCCATCTCTGAACCAGAAAGCTGGTAACAGCTGTTGAAGAGACAGTAAAGCTCTGGAAAATATGCCTTTTGGTATCGCTAATCTGGGTATAATACTGCTGGCAGCTGGCTCTCAATACTGAGGGCAAAAGTTTGGATCCTGGTTGGGGGATGAGGTGGGGAGGGACAGGTGGGTTAGAAATGACGGACTGGTTTCTTTTGGGATCGTCTCGGATCATTGGAGAGTCTGCTGTGGACAATGTACGTTTAACCTTTGAACTCCATTGCCTTTTGTGTCAGCTGAGAGCAACTGAACAATAATTATCTCAGTAACCTCGCAATAACACGGCCCTTCATTTTGCATGACTGGGTTTTTGACCCAATTTACAGGACTTGGGCAGGGTTTCACTGGATCTTTTATGTTCAGAATTCAGATCCCTGGCCTATTATGTATTACTGAGAGACCTTGAAGCTCAGGCCTTCTCCCGTTAAGTGTCCTTAGGCCCCTCTGTGCCGTGGATGAGCTCATGTATTGCTAGCAGCCTTTCCAGGAAAATGACAAAGAAACTCATTGTTGGTCGTTCTGATCCTCAGGTATCAACTTGACCTAAAGGATGAATACATCACTAGAACCAACAGACTGATTGAAGATGAAAGGAAAAATAAAGGTGATTCTCAGTGGGGGGCTGTAGTTTTCAGTTCTGATTTAAGTTCCTGAATTGGGTCTGTCTGTATTCTGAAAAATGTATAGCTTATACTTCACTGTTAATGTTCTTACTTTGCAAAATTAAAAAGTGATCCTTGTCTTTCACTACCTTTTTGCAGACCTTCATGTATATTCACGTGGGTCAGTAATTTATTGTCAGCATTTTATCCCACTTTCTTTCAGTCTAGTTTAATAAGAAAGGCTCTGACTGTCAGGACGGTTGGCAGCAGCTCACTGCTATCCAGTAAACACTCCTTTTAACCACGAGAGACTTGACGTTTTACTCACGGAAAATTGTCTTTTCACTTCTCGGTCCCGTATGCACTAGTTTCTTATTTCCTTTACTTCTGATTTATTTTTATGCTTTATAATATTTTGACTTGACGGATAACTTTCTAAACTCTTTTATACATCAGCCCGACTTTCCCAAAGGTGAATAATTTTTCAGTCTATGGATATTTTGCATTTCAATAAATATCAAGGAAATCGCCTGTGACAAGAAGTTGGACTTTTGGCAGAAATGTCAGAGGATTCTTGGGAGTAAACCAGGGCTGGATACTTAATATTCACTAGACCCACAGTTTGTTGCTCTTCCTTTTACTACTATCTTGTGGAAACTAATCCTTCTTTAGGAATTGATACCATTGTGTATTCAGCACATTAGTTTTTGACAGTGTATCTTCATGGTCTTGTGTTAGAAGTGAGAACTACAAAATAGTAACAGAAAAATTTTTGTCTTGAAGGAAATTAAGGACTGTTGGCTTAAGGCCCTGTGCTCTGAGCGGATGGTATAACTGATTAACATACGTAGCAGGAGAAATTTCACCACATACATGACTGTTAGAACTTTCCATCACCTGTTGGCTAACAGGCTTTATTTCCTCCTGGCCAATGAATTTTTGACCCCGGGCAGTGCAGTGCTTAAGCGGTCGGCTGCTAACTAAAAGATCGGTGGTTCGAACCCACCAGCCGCTCTGTGGGAGAAAGATGTGGCAGTCTGCTTCCGTAAAGATTACAGCCTTGGAAATCCTACATGGTCGCTATGAGTCGGAATGGACTCGACAGCAATGGGTTTTTTGGCCATCTGCTATTTAGATTATGAAAGATAGGTTGTTAGGTCTGACATATTGGGCATAAATTATTAAATGGCATTTGTATTCCCTCTGAAAGCATTATGATGTTTAATCGGTTGACTTTTTCTTTTAGAAAAAGCTATGCATTTGCAAGAAGAGCTCACAGTTATTAATTCCAAAAAGCAAGAACTCAGTCAGTCTGTAAACCGTGTGAAAGAACTTGAGGTAATCGTTAAGCCTGTAGTTTTTTCCAAATATATGTTAGACAGTGTATGAAACTGTAGTCATACATAATTTATCTGAAGTTATCCTCTGGGCACATTTGAACTGTTTATTATATGACTAAGAAGGTGATGGCCGAAGTTAGGTTCATAAAATAATTCTTAGTTTGAATCTAAGTCACAGAGGGATGCATGGAAAGAAGATGTGCTTTGGAGACCTGTTGTCCTACTTGAATCCTGCCTCTGTCCCTTTCTGCTTGTGTGCCTTCAGGCAGGTTCTGTGACCTCAGATTCCTTATCCCTAAAATTTGGAAAGCTGCCCATATCACATGGTGGTTGAGGGAATTCAGTGAGCTAATGTACAGGTCGGTTTCTACCTCAGCCTCTTCCTCTTTCTTATCAGCAGCAGGTAAACATTCCTGTCAGTCCATGGATGTCTTATAGATGAGAACAAAGCGAGATGCACTTTCACATGCCACTCGTACTTTATTTCTGCTCATTAGCGTGCTGTCTGAGGGATAGAGCTGGAACTTTAGGTACTTCAAGTGTAAACCGTATATACAATTTATTTTTGCCCCTCTGATGACTTAGGCATTTGGAAATTTACAGAGTTCCACATCCAACTGTCAGATATGCTCAGAAAAGGAAAGCTTCTCACTGTGTGTTAGTGATCATTTCTTTCTCACCTTTCTGTATTTAAAACAGGATAGTACGGCAGTCTGATTGTTCTTGGGTCCATAGTTGCATCTGGAAAATGGGATGATAATGAGAAGCACTTGCTTCATAGGACAGAGTTCTGTATAGTTCAAGTTCGATAAACTTCCCCCTGCGCCGTATCTATTGAGTGACCTTAATTGTGATGCCCAGTTCAAAGCATCCTGCCAGCTTATACTCAAGCAGTGCTGTAGGGTCACTGTACAAGTATGGTTTGTCCTTTTTGAATTTCAGCTTGAGTTAGAATCTCTCAAAGCCCAGTCTTTGGCAATGTCAAAACAAAACCACTTGCTGAGTGAAAAGGTTAAAGGGCTGAGTGATTATTCACGACTAAAAGAAGAGAAACTGGAGCTGCAGGCACAAACTAAATTGCTGAAACAACAACTGGAAGAGAGTAGAAGTGAAAACGTGCTTCTCCTAAACCGTATGTCTTTGTTTGGATTTGCATCGTTTTGTAATTCATATTAAGTCAGAGCCTGTAAGATAGACTTCAATTGGGAAGATTTTATAAAGTTAAGATTCATGGATGGAAATGACTTCCTTTTTGCTTGCTATTGGATAATTAATAGTGTCACTGTAAGAAGTAGTATGTTGAAACTACCAATCTGCTTCTACGGCTCCCATGCCCTCTGACTCCTGGTTGGATTTGGCCAGTGAGGACACTGGCAAGCACTTGGAGGCTGAGAGAAGGGTGAGGTCGAGGTTGGCACTCCCCGCTCCCTCCAGGACGGTGGCCCAGAGGTGGTAGCAGCGTGGCATGTTGCTGCCCCAGGGAATGGCACCATCCTTTATAGTTACCCTCCAGAAGTCACTCTTGAAAAAACAGTCCACAGATGACCCGATGCGTAGGCGCCATCTGCCTTCTGCCTGGGTCCTGACTGTCACAGACGGATGCACGGATCGGACTGGACAGCTGTTGATAGAACACTGTTTCTCTCCCTTCTGTGCGTAGTGGAGGAGAGAGACAGGCTGTCAGGTTCACTGGAGGATTTGAAAGAATTCTGTTCCTTGGAGTAGGACTCTAAAGGGTAATTAATAAATTTTGCATTAACATGCATTAAATTCTTTGTTTCTGAATTCTGTGAATCAGGATTGCTTTTTTGCCCATTTAATAGAATTAACGTAATGTTAACTGTGTTGAGTGCAAAGAAAAGGAAGAACCATTTAAAACATCCTTAGCCAATGTTGTGAAGTGAAAGAAGAAAACCCACAAGATTGGTAATGACTAGGATTTTTTTCCCCTTCTTAGGCATAGCTCAGCCATCTCCTGAGCTTGTGATTTTTCAGAAGGAATTAAAGAAAGCAGAAAATGCTATAGCGCTTGGGCATAAGGAGTTTGAAACTCACAAGCAAGCTCTGGAAAAACGGCTGCAGAGTGAAGTGAGTGTTGGCTGTTCGCTTGTTCAAGTATTGTGGCAGTCCACTTGGTAGACGTAGGAACTTGGCATAAGTCACACCCAGCGTAAACCGGGCTTACTTATTTTAACATTTGAAAGTACTGCCCCAAATATGCTAAGGGTCTCATTTCTTATCTGAGAATGTTCTCTAGCAATTATATGACTTCCTGTTACTTAAACGTCCTGATAGTGCCCACTTATAAAGTGTCTCTTGATTCTCACCCTGCCGGGACCCAGTTTGACTTACAAATATTGACCAGCTCTTTCTGATTTCTCCCTGCTGGCCCTGGAGGCGCTCTTCTTTGATAGGAACGAAAAGGGTGGTGAAAAGCTTTTTGCGTGTTCTGTTTGTTGGTTTTTTCATAGAGACCCTGTTGATTACAGGTGTAAACCTTCTGGGAATTGGGAAAACAAAAATAAAACAAGCACCATGAGAGAATTCTTCCTTTAGAAATGAGCTGTGATTTGTGTTACCTTGATTTCTTCTCCTTTTCGAATCTTTTCAGATTGAACATTCAGCACAGCTGAAGGCCCAGTTGATCGATTACGATGCGACTGTAAAGAGGTTAACTACACAGATTGCCGACCTAAAATTGCAACTGAAGCAAACCCAGACAGGTTAGAGATGTTTGTAGCCCATGAATATTTTGTTTGTGTAAAGCTTTTGACATTTGTGGAAGTGTTGTGATTGTTATTTATGGAATTTTTAGTAATTTTCGTATTAGAGGAAAAAGCATAGAAATATATGTCTTCTTAGAAGTAAAACTACCTACCCATTTCAGGAACACCAGCTGGGACCAGCTAATGTTGATTTCCCTTCAGAAGTGGCCCCTGGCTTGGGAGCACCTCACATCACAACCACAAATGGTGTGGTGGTGGGGTGGTTGCTCCATATGACACAGGAGTCCCAAAAGTCACCCTGGACCTAGGCTTTCTTTTTTTTATTTGTTACCTCAAAAGTAAGACTGATTGACTATTGGGTGGTTTTGCCTGTTCTTGACAGACAGGTATACAAATATATACACATATGCACGCATACACACACACGCACACGCACACATATACATACGTATATGAAGCCGGGTGCCCTAGTGGAAAGAGCACTGGTGTTGGAATCAGAGAACTGTCTTTGGTTTTGGACCCCAATTGTAGCATTAGTTGTTTGGCCTTGGACACGTTTCTATACCTTCTTCCAGTGTCGTGCTGAATGAAGATTAAATGAGGTGGGTCCCAGTACAGTGCCTGGGACGAAGTGGTCACTGCTGTCACTGTATTACTTCCTTTACTCTGGCTGCAGTCATATCTGCCGTTGCCTCCTTCATAAGAACTATATTGCAGCTTAGATGCTTTTTGTTTGTTAGCTGCTTCAAGCTCAAAGGTTCTGTGTGTTACCAGTTTAACCGGCTTCTCACACTTCCTTGTGCTGAGCCCTTCTTATGTCCCACCTGCACTCTTTCCTTGTCAATCCCTTATTCCCCTCTGCCCACACTATTTTTATTTGTACCTCTACTCATTTCTATTCTTTCCTCCTCCTCTTTTTCTGTCAACAATTCTATGTTTGCCAGACTGCCCGTAGCTGAAATCATAGCAATCTCGTATGGAAAAATTGTTCAGTGTGGATGGAACCTTTTCAGAAGCATGCATTGCCCATTGCAAGCGTATTCCTTGCAGCACCGCGCCTGGCCCCATAGGGAGCATTGCAGGAGGGGAGCAGCCACATGCAGTGGCTTTGCATTAGGAAATCTCAGCGGCTGTACTGCTTGCCAACAGTGTGACCCAGCCTCAGTAAGCCTCAGTCCCCTTCTGTACAATGGGAGCAGCAACAGTGCCAGGCCCCAGCGTTGCTGGGAGTGCAGGTCCTCATTCTCTTGTCTGAAACTCTGGCCGTATACCATGTATTTCACAACAGCCCAGGGGCCTGGGGCAGCTTCCTGTAGGCAGACAAATTGTCATGGATTGAATTACGTCCCCCCAAAATACGTGTCAACTTGGTTAGGCCATGATTCCCAGTATTGTGTGGTTGTCCTCCATTTTGTGATACAATTTTCCTATGTGTTGTAAATCCTAATCTCTGCCTGTGGTTAATAAGGCAAGATTAGATTATGGTAAAGAGGATTAGGGTGGGTTGTAACACCCTTGCTCAGGTCATATCCCTGATCCAGTGTAAAGGGAGTTTCCCTGGGGTGTGGCCTGTACCACCTTTTATCTTACAAGAGATAAGGAAAGGGAAGGGAGCAGAGAGTGGGGGACCTGATACCACCAGAAAGCAGCGCCAGGAGCAGAGTGCATCCTTTAAACCCAGGGTTCCTGCATGGAGAAGCTCCTAGTCCAGGGGAAGATTGATGAAAAGGACCTTCCTTCAGAGCCAGCAGAGAGAGAAGGCTTTCCCCTGGAGCTGACACACTGAATTTGGACTTCTAGCCTACTAGACTGTGAGAAAATAAATTTCTCTTGTTAATGCCATCCACTTGTGGCATTTCTGTTATAGCAGCACTAGATGACCAAGACACAGATTAATTACTTTACAATCAAATGTATGAATATTCATGCTAGGTGGGATAAGTAGAGCTTATAAATGAGTTTACATCAGTTCAGATCAAGTTTTTCAGCCAAATGAGTTTAGGTCTTGTTAGGCTTTGCCACCAAATAAATCATGAATACATCTTCAGTGCTCAGAACTTTTTGGATTTTACGATTGTGTATGAAGGATTGTGGATTTATATCATGCATTACAGAAGAAGGCTTATAAAGCCATACGAAGCTCTCAGTCCAAACCAAAAAACCAAGCCCATCGCCGTCAAATCCAAGTCCAACTCATAGCAACCCTATAGGACAGGGTAGAAGTGCCCCGTTGGGTTTCCAAGGCTGTAATCTTTACGGAAGCAGACTGCCACACCTTTCTCTTGCAGAACCTGGTGGGTTTGAACTGCTGACCTTTTGGTTAGCCACCAAGTGCTTAAGCACTGTGCCACCGGGCCTCTTTTCAAGCTCTCGATAAACGTTAATAATTCTTGAAATTACCCCTGTTTAAGAAACAGTTTAATGTGCAAGCTTGTCCTTTTATTACTTTTCTTTGATTTTTCCAAAAATCATGATCTTGAGTATATTTGAATTGTATTCTCTACCTTTCCCCCTCAGATCTCAAGTTCTCTTTTTGTAATTTGCAGCTCTACAGAATGAAGTGTACCGCAACCCAAAGCCATCTCTGATGGATCGCTCCATCACTGGATTCAGAAGTGGCAGGATGGTACCTCACGACGGTGATATAAGCGGAGATTTCTTGAAGAATCCTGTGGAACAGGAGAAGGCTCTGGCAGTTGCAGTTACACCAAGGGTCACAAGTCCCCCAGATGCAGGCATGGAGAGCATTTCCCCCGATTCTGACCTTGAATTTGTAGCCAATACTAAAGCCAGGGTAAAGGAGCTAGAACAAGAGGCCGAACGCTTAGAAAAAGCTTTCAGAAATTACCATCGAAGAGTCACTCAAAACCCAGGTACGAGCCCGCCACCAGCAAAGAGTCCGCTGCCCCTGTACTTGCTGGGAACTCTAAAAAATGTCACTTCACGTTCCCCAGAAAGAGGTCTTTTTGCAGAGGACAGAATTGTATCTGAGCAGCCTCAGGTGGACATTCTGAGAGAGGAAAAGAGCGACGCGTTGGAAGTGCTGACAGGTAGCGCAGCTTCACGGCGAAGGAGGGGCTCTTCCCCAAGACGCCTCTCCTCCACTCCCCTTCCAAAAGCAAAGAGGAGCCTCGACAGTGAAATGTACCTGGAAGGTAAGCTGCTACAGAAAGGGTTTCCAGAACACTCTCGCTTTGGATAGACCCTATTCTCTTTGGTCCTGTCATGAAGGAGTCAGGCCTTCACCTGGACCAGTTGGGTCCTCTCTCTCTACCTGTGTTTCCTGGCCAACCTTGGCGTCTCCCTGCTCCACAGGTTTGGTGTGGGAGTCAGTAGGAGAAGGAGCTTCTGGGTCTGGCATTTTGCTTAGCAGGCAGAAGTGTTCAGGGAGGGACAGTGTCCTTTCCTTGGCTGCTGGTTAGTTTTATTTTACATTTATTACCACTGCTGTTCAGTTTAGGTGCTTGAGTGGTTAGTATGAAGCTCATTTATCTTGCAAGGATCACAGACAGAATTTCTTTTCAAACCAGTAGAGCTCCTTAGAAACCACACTGGTATGCGTTCTGTGCAATTTGTCATATTCTCACCCTGGTTCCTTCTGCCTCTTAGGTCTGGCCAGATCCCTCGTTGCTTCCCCCAGCGCTTGTCCTGACAGAACATCCCAGCCCTCGCCTGCTGAGTCTAGGCCTACCCCCTCCAGCGCATCTCCCCGCAGCCTTCCGGAGCAGAAGGCGAGGTAAACACCACATTCGCATCGGCTTCAGCCCAGTCTTGTTACCTGCGGTTTAGCTTTTACTTGGTGTTTTATTGTAGACCATAGGAAAGATCTTGTGGCAGTATATGGTTTGCAGCGAGATTGTAAACTGCAGTGTGATCTTTGCGAATCATCTGAATCACTGGGAGGGGGAGAGATTCCTTTTTAACATAATTTCTATTTATTTGTTCAACCTGGTGGATAGAATACACAATATGGTTTAATAAGTATCTTCAGAGTTCTGTGGCTATACCCAGTTTATAAAAATAAAAACAAATGTAGAAAATCTCAGAAAGTAAATACATTCAGTTTGTTTTTAAACTTGTAACAATTTTGCACTTCATTAAAAAGTATTTTGGCATATAAACAGATAAGATTCCAATTTTTATAGCATTGAAATAAATTCTGAAGTGACATTGGCTCTAGGGTATGATTATTGAAGCAGAACGGAGTGTTGTTTTAGAAAGAAGGCCCGTGGGTCAGCCCGGGCTGTGATCGGAGTCACACTGGGGTTTCTCCCCAGGCCTGGCCCCCACTGCAGGATCTTCTGACTCGCTCGACCCCGGGCTGGAGCCTGGGTATTGGCGTGTGAGCAGTCCCATTTACCAAGTTGAGAACTGCAGTATGGGCCTGTAATGGTCCTACAAGCATCTCACATTTGTGGTGCACTTTGTGGTAATAGCCACGAGGAAAGATGGGACTCACCCGTGCGCTGAGGGGCACGCTCGGTCGAGCTCCTCATATTGCAGCGCCATCTGTTTCGTGGTGATGCTGTACAGAATTTCTTTCTTTCGAAAATGTTTTGTGGTTACTGAGAAAATAAACTCCTAGGGAATAGCACTGAGAGTGCTATATTCTTTACTAACAATAGTCGTACCTGCCTCCCCGTGTGGGGTGGTTCTGAGGATAACTGAGTTAATGTATATTAATCACTCAGAACCATGCCCAGTGCCTGGTGAGCCTGCAGTGCATCGCAGCTGCTGTTCTTTATAAGCTGAAGAGAAATGAATTTTGTGAAGCATTTTCTTGATTTACAAATGGCTTTTTCTCACACTGTGCTCTTGCATTTGATGTGATTAAAACTTGACACTCAAGAAGTTTATTCTTCCAATCCAGTCTTTATCAAAAACAAGCTGAACTTCAAGACAGAAGTGAATTTTCAAATCTGGACAAGCTAACTTCTAAGGATAATGAGGAACTTGATTCATCTTTTGAATGTAAGTTCAAATATAAGTACTGATTTTTATAAGTTGAAAATGTAGAAAGCATAGTTTTGGTGAGACGGCCATTGTTACAAAAAGCAAAGCAGTTACAACTCGGACATTTTTATTTTGTGATAAAACCACAAATACAGAGATTTCACCTCTGTTTTAGATCATGAAGATTTTCAGGAGTGTGTCTGAGTTCCATTTTTTAAAACTTAAAAAAAATTTTAGGATGACTAATAATTTCAAAGTTAGAGCGAAGCCTGTAAATGAATCCTTAAAGCAACTATAAAAAGGACAAAAGACAGACTTAATTTACCAACTTTTGGGTTACCTCATTTTTTAAATAAGTGATTTAAAGTTTTTTTTTTCCTTTTTTATGAAATTGTTGTGATTCTCCTTTAAGTTATACTGATTCTGTGGATTTCCTCAGACTTAGAAAACCCTGCTCTTAGTTCAGAAAGGGAGGTGAAAGAAACTGGTGTCCTGACCGTGGCCCTGACGTGTTCCCGTTGGCTCACTTCAGCACCCATGTCTTAAATGTAAAACAGACGTAGAGTCCATCCTCTCAGAGGTCCTTTCCAGCTTGAAGAGTCTTTATATTTGCATATAACCTATCCATTAGCCTTGTAAACTTCATTGTTAAGTCTGAGACGGTAATGTTTTGAATACTTAAATGAGAGGGCTTAGTAAATTTTACAAATTATTTTTAACTTGTCGGTTAAAGGACAACTTTGATAAATTATTTCTATTGAAATAGAATTCAAATGTTATCAGCAATGCAAGTTAATTTTTCTTTGCCATTGGCTTGATTTCCTGTTGGGTAACAAATCTAATGCAGTCATGGATCGTATAATGTCGCTTTGGGCAATGTCCGACTGCGTATACTTTTTTTTTTTTTTTTTTTAAAGGAAAGCAGCTTTCCTTAGTCATGAGGGAGCTGTGCGGCATCACTGATGGACACAGTGCGGGTGGGGATGGCGTGGCTCTGGCTGGGCATGTGGTTGCTGCTGGTGGACAAGCTGGGCTGGGCGCGGGCCCTCGGGCTTTGTCCAGAGGGTAGGTGGGCAGGGGCTGCAGGGCCCAGGCTGCTCCTGCTCCTCAGGCAGGCGCAACAGTGGGCAGGGCTGGGCTGGGTGTGGTCCGCTCCCCGCTCCCTCCTCCTTTGCTTCCTGACTCTGCTCCTGCTGCTGCCCTGTCAGCTACCACCCATTTCTCTGGCCTCTGCCAGCAGCTCCAGCTGCAGCAGCAGCAGCAGCGGAAACGAGGACCACCAGAAGCAGGCTCCCATAAGGTTTTAATATGATAGGCTTTATGGGGGCTTGTTCGTAACTGTGGGTTGTATGTAAGTCAGTCATTCGTAACCTGAAGATTGCCTGTATATAATATGGTGTTCACACAATGTCCAAATCACATAACGTCCTATTTCACAGAACGTATCGTGGACATTAAGTGATGCATGACTGTATTGTAAAAGAGTTGAATTCTTTCAAGTCTGAAAATGTTTTGAAGAAGTAAATGCACTGACAAATGTGTGTGTTGAAAACTTTTTAGACTTCTGTGAGGAAAGGGCTCGCCCAGTTGCTTTGGCAGAAGTGTAAGTGCTGGACAGTTAGTTACTCCACCCTCTGTGGCACCCCCTTCTCTGGTTGTTGTTATTAAGGACTCATGGGACAATTGTTTGCCCCTGTGTAGATGCAGGGGACATGCCAAGGTCATTTGAAGTGGATGGGCTACTCCCCGCGGGCGATATGCCTCACGTGGACACCGTCTCAGCCGCCGTGCCCGCCAGGCCTGTCTCGCTTCAGTACACAAGTAAGCTGGCATTTGTTTGAACATTAGTAGATGTGCTCTGTAAATGACTGCCGGTACATTGAAAGACTTTTTGTAAGCATAGATTATTGAAAGCCTTGGGGTTAGGGTGTTACCATTGTTAATTGCTTTTCTTAGGTAACTCTCAATTTGAACACGTGAAGACAGTGCTGAGAAAAACACACTGTGTGCAGGTAAAGCTTCTCATTTAGTCCTCGAAGGTCAGATGTTTTTTAAAATATTTTAAACCGTCCATTTGAACACAGCAGTTTCACACTTTTCCTTAACACTAGGTAAGATCCATTCCACGGGAACCTTAGCATCTTGGGAAATCACGGTGGAAAGATGGAAATAATGGGTTCGTCTTAGGGTTAACTCCTGTTACGTATCCTTAAGGTGATTTTAACATTTTCCTATTTCTTTTTCTATCTGTACCCTTCCTTCATGTCTTAAATTAGAGCAGGAAAAAAAAAAAAAAACAACTTTCAGTCACTGAAAAAGCTGACAATGCCAAGTGAACTTATTGCCAGAGGAAAACTGATCGTCAGTTGTCTGGCCCACTTTCTCCTTCGTCTTATCCCCACCAGCTTACCCACTTCCCTCACTGGTGGGGGAGAGGGGAGGAGAGGGAAGATGAAGGCAGAAATGAGAGCTTTTATCCAGCCAGGCCCTTTGCTCCATGGACCAGAGTGCCTCAGCCTTACACTTGAAAGGAAATCCCTCCAGGAAAGCCACCTTGGAGTCACTTCCAAACACTGGAGAAACATCATCCCCAAAGCAGGGCCAAAGCCTCTTGGTTGAAATCATAGTATTCAGGAAGATGAGGAATTACTGAAAGAAACTAGAGATACGCTGGCATATAGCCATGAACCCAGCCAAGCCCCTTACTTCCTAGAACTTCAGGTGATTTCCTTTATTCAGCCAAATAGGGGCAGTGACCAAGGGAAGCGCCTGTCAGATAGGCAGCCATCTGGCAGAGACATGAGCGAGGTGAGGGAATAAAAATAGCATAAGGGAAACCATCTGAGTTGGTAGGTGTTCTGCCTCTGAAATGTAATGGAGATTATACTAACGACCTTTATGATAATTATTAAGCTGCATGGTTAGTGTTTGATAATTGAGAAATTATTTTATATTCATCATCTCACCTTTTCCATCATGGGTGCAAAGGAAATGAAAAAGGCTGAAACTTGGAATCTGTAAAGTGCCCAGTGGAAATGCTTCTTGTCTTGGCTCTTATATCCAAAGAGATTTCTGTATGCCACCTGTTGCTACAAAATATACCCCAGCCCAGAGAAGTTGCCCTTTGTTCTTTTTTTTTATTATTTTTAAATAATGTGTTTTTGGTGAAGGTTTACACAGCAGTTTAGGTTCTCATTCACGAATTTCTACACAAATTGTTCAGTGACGTTGGTTACATTCTTCACGACGCATGAACATTTCTCATTATTTCCGTTCTGGTTGTTCTGTTTTATTTTTTTTTTTAATTGGCACCCAAACAACATAGCCATTTTGCAGTTGCTCTCGCACGTAAGTGGGCAGTGCTGGTTAGGAGGTCCCCTTCTTCCACCAGCTGGGAGCCCGTGGCTCTGCCTGGGAGCAAGGCTGCTGTTTTCATTTCAGGGCAAGGACTGAGGGAGAGGACACCGTTGCTTTTCTCCTGTCAGTAGAACCAGCTCGGTTCCTGCTGGTGTCTCTAGAACGAGGCGCGGCCAAAAGGCTCCAAGCCTGCTAGCAAGCCTGTGAGTTGTTCTGCTTATTAGCCTTGCTCAGCTGGAAAAGTTTAGGTCATAGACTGGAGCCAGAGGCGAGTTGTCAGAACAAGCATCTGGGATTGAGATTTACTGAGCCCTTTGAGGTGGAGGGACCTGGGCGAAGAGCTCTGGGAATGGACAGATAATTAAGACGTGGGCCTTGTCTGCAAGGAATAGGAGTGAGAGGAGCAAGTGTATGTGGTTTTTGACAAGGCAAGTTCAAAATGCTGGGTGAGTATGGTGCTGGAGGGGTTGTCACTTTAGGAATCAGGAGGACTTCCCAGAGGAGGCGGCATTTCAGTTGGGTCTTGAAGGGTAGGTAGGGCTTTGTAGGGAGAAGGGGAGGAGGGGACCACGCCAGGCTCGGGAGACAGGGAGAACAAAGGCCCAGAGCAAGGACTGGACAAGCCACAGGGAGGGAACAGGGAAGATGGGAGGGGTCAATTCTTTCGCGTGCCAAAGGTGGTGGCAATGTAGGAAAGAAATCTGGAAAGAAAAGTTACAGGCAGATGGTCAGAGCCTAGGCTGCCTTGGTTTGGACTCTAGCAGAGCTGAGAAGTTACACAGCAAACCCACGTCTTCCCTTCAGGAGATAATGCCAGTGCTGATGGAGATGGAGTGCTTAGTGTCAGGGGCCATTGAGTGGGTTCTCTCAGCAGTCCAGGTCCACGGTGAGAAGGACCCTAGTTACAATGGGAGGAGGCAGGAGTGCGCCTTGGTGGCTGTGCGGACGACGAGTAGGAAGAGCGTGATGAAAGGGTCAGTAACAATAGCTCCAGGTATGGAGCCAGTGCCTGGGCAAGTTTCTGTGCTTATGGTGGGGAACCCACTAGACACATGGGTCGCAGGCTCAGGGTAGATCGGGACTGGAGAAAAAGATGTGGCAATGACCAGTGCAGAGTGATAGCTGAAGCCCCAGGAAGGACGTGTGCAGTGGACGGCAGGATGGCCAGGGCAGTGGATGGAGCAGGATGGCGGGGTTTGTTTGGGGGCCAAGGAACTTGAGCACCTTTATAGGAGTAATGGGAAAGAGCTGATAAAACTATATATGTAAATAAATAGGGACTGCTGGTTCCGTCAGGGTCCTAAGGCTAGGGGAGGAATCGGAATCAGAAATCCAGGGTTTGCCCTGGAAAGGAGAGAGGAAGTGGTTGAAGAGGTTGAAAGCCTGTGATGTGGCTGGGAGGACTGCTGAAGTAGTTCCTGCTAAGGATGATGGTATTCATCTCAGTAAAGGAAAAGGCAAGTGCAGTGTTAGGAGTGGGTCTGGGGGCTTGGAGGCAACAAAAATGGAACAGCAGTACAAAGGAGGTCAGCAAAGCCAGCTGAGAATCAAGGAAAGAATTCCTGAGTCTTGGCATGGGCCCGTGCAGACTGGTCCCTCATTTGTTTGGGAAATCTGATGCTAAAAGCTACTTATTCTTTCTTTTGTATCCTATTAGATATAGATCAGAGACAAATCGGAGAACCCGAGGAAGAAGAAAACATATGGGAACAGCGCACGAAAGAACGAAGACAGACAGAAGAAAGAAGGCAGAGTGAACGGCAAGAAGCTTTAGAAAAGGAGCGGAGAGAACTAGAAAAACTGGATCAAGAAAGGGTAATTTGTATGGCTTGATTCTCTTTACTGTTGTTCTCAGGCACCATCAAGTCGGTTCCGACCCATAGCGACCCTGTGTACAACAGAAGGAAACGCTGCCCGGTCCTGCGCCATCCTCACAGTTGTCGTTAGGCTTGAAACCATTGTTGCAGCCACTGTGTCAATCCATCTCATTAAGAGTCTTCCTCTTTTTTGCCGACCCTCTATATACTAGTTTCTACTTGGTACACCTTGAGTACCTTAATCTCAGTCACTAGTGTGTCCTGAGTTATTGGAGTGGCAGATAACTTTTAGAAAGCCCGCCTATAAATGCCTTATGAGTTTATAGTATAGTTTTTGAAAGCATTTTTACACTTGATCCTTAAAACAGGCCTGCAAGGAAGGGGGACTCTGCTTTGCTATCGTTCTTTGCGTTATAAATGGAGTTTAAGGAAGAGACTTTGTCAGAGTCAGCTAGCGGGGACTAGAGCTAGCACAAGAACAACCCAGAGGAGGTGACTGCTGGGCACGGTTCCTTCCAGTGGTGCACACTGCCTTTCCCTGTGTTCTCTTCTTGCCTTCTGTGTCCTGATGCTGGATCCAGATAGATTACTCTGGCCACTTTAACACGCGTGCTGAGTCTTCCTTACACTGATCTTCCGTGTGAATGTTCCTTCGACTACTGGTTAATTTGGGTCTAAAGCACAGGGCACTTTAGGGAAATGAATCCCTGCCTTCAGTTAGATAGCTTCTTTGTTTCCCTTGAATGGTAGCAGTGACTTGGATTGAAAATTTCTCTGTAGTTCTCTGGTATGCAGATTGTACTTAAGAGGATCAGGATTTATTACTGTGTGCTTTTAAACACTTCAAGTTCCTAGAATGTCCTTGTTTATTTCCTGTTTTGGCACCCATCTGTTTTATAGAGGATGATTGAAGAATCATTGAAGATTGAAATGGAAAAAGAATTAGAAGTGAGTGCTCAAGAAATTAAAGACAAATCTGTTTGTGGTGAAAATCCTTTAGAGAAGTACATGAAAATCATTCAGGAGGGAAGAGATCAGAACTCAGCAGACAAGGTGAGGGTGCTGTGGAAAGGGCAGGCTGGGGTGGGGACACAGAGGCTTCTTGTGGGTTATTTTAAACCCTTGGGAAAACAATCTGCCTTCTCTGTTGTAAGACGAAAAGTTAAAATCATAGAAAATCCCAAGGTCAGATGGAGCCTTCCATCTGAAATATATTACACTCTTTTGACAGAATTTCGTAGCTTTTACCCAGGTGAAAGATGTAATGATTTTGATTTGTGAAAATTTGTAAAAGTTGGGATGTCTCTTATTGTTTAAAGAACAAGGAAAAAATAATGCAAGATCTCTCCGTGAATAAAGAATGCAGTAGTACTGTCTGAGAGATCAATGTTTTATAGACGTTAGAAGTACTATGGATGTTTAGAATGCATACTGTATGACTTAATCTAATGTGCTTGTTAGAGTTAGAAAGTCACCTCTTTTTTAGACTCTTAAATTACATATGTATTTCAAAAAATACTTTCAAGAGAAATCATAAAGCATTTTATAAAATTAATGCTTATCTAATTTCAAATTTTTCCTTTTCTTCTATGGATCAGAGCTCAAAAAAGATAATTATCAGAGAAGGCTCACCATTGGATACGCTGCCATCTAGTGACAAAGACGAAAGGTATGGTTTTCCCAGACACGCTGTTCCTCACGCAAACCCTTATAATATTGCTGGTTTTGTTAGCCAAGGGAAGCTTTCAAATAAATATTTGAGGCTGCCTGTAAGAAATTATTGAATCATTCAAAATTACTGACTTAAAAACAAAATCGGTTGTATTTTTTTAACTTGTGAAATTGATCCTGATGCAGATTGTAAACTAGGCCAGAAACCCCTTGGGGAAGGAGGGAGAACATCATGAAGAGCCCTGAATAAATTTGACAAGAATACTTTTGTCTTTCCCTCCTCTAGTTTCACAGGTTTGTCTCATGAAGAACCAGATGACTCTTGGTGATGTTTTGCTGCCCAGCTTCTTCCATATACCAATGAGAAGTTACATCATGTTTAGGCCTATGCTTTGTGATAAGACAAAATAATCAATAAAGATTGTATGTGCAGTCCAGCCATACAATTTCTCATTCTGAGGCCTTTCTTACTAAAATGAACTGCCTTATTTTGTTTGTTTGGCTGGGTTTTTTTTTACATTTTTGTCTTAGGGTACACTTATTTGAAAACACATCTTGTTGGTCAAACTCTAGGCCTACATTTTGGAAATTTTACTTGTGTTTCTTCCTCTCTAGAGTTGGGCTCCCACCTATAAGACATTCTTCTTCCCCAGCACACTTTTCCTTTTCTTGTCTCTGAACAGAAAGACAGGTTTGTCCATTCTAAGCTCTAGAGATAGCATGATGTCACCTGTGGGTCTTTACTTTTGCTGTCTTTTTCTTGAGAATCAACACAAGCTCTTTAGATGGTGATAAAAATCAAAAGTAGTATGTATTGAGCACTTACTCTGTGCCAGGTACAATTTTAAGCTCTGTGTGTAGTAACTCATTTAATGCATCAGCCACATGAGGTATAGGTACTGTTTTCCACACTTTACAGATTAGGCACTGCAAGGCTCAGAGAGGTTGGTGACTTGACCAAGGCCTCACAGCCTTGAAGTCACAGAGCCAGGATGTTACCCAGGCATCCGGGGAGCCGGTCTGCCACAGCCTATTCTGGAAGACCCAGGTGAGACATCCTGGGACTTGTAATGGGTCATTCATAACTTCCTTGGATGTCCTACTCTAGAATGACCTTTAGAAACTCCACATCAGCCAGACCGAGATAACTGCCCCATAGCAGAACCGACGCAGAGGGAAGAGAGGACTCGTTGTTCCCCTTTCCTGGCTTTGTATACCAGCAGCTCTTAGGTCAATGTCGTGCTTGTTGGAGCAACGCAGAAGGTTTGACACTGCCAGTACGGCCCTCAAAAGTACGTAGAGAACTGCTGCTGGGTGACCAGCCATCCTGGTTTGCCCAGGACTGAAAGGTTCCCAAGGTGTGGGACTCTCAGTGCTAAAACCATGGCCACTGAGCTGCTAACGCAGGAAGAATTTGCGTAGGACTTGCATAGTCTGCCTTAATGGTAAGATCTGGGAGCTCATTTCCCTTTACAAGTCCCTCAGTTGTTTTTGCCAGTGATATTTGTGTGGTCATTGAGTTATGTAACAAACTGCAAAGGGGATTTGGGGTTTTTTTTTTAGTGTCTGTCATTCCTTGGGCTTGTGGTACACTCAAATTTTACATTGACATCATACCTTTGAGAGTATTTTAAAGAAATGTTATCTAGGTACCATATTGCTACCAAGGATTTGGCATTGTTTCAGCAACACCTCAAATAACACTTCACTTCAGCTCCCCGCTCCCTCTTTGTGCTTTCAAAGCCCTTGTCTAGGTAACTCAATGTAAATATCGTTTCTATCTTGGGTTTTGATAGCGTCATTCCCCCCCTCCCCACCAGTCAGCTGAAACAATTCTGAGCATATACTCACTCTTAATACTCCACATCAGGGCAGTCCTCCTTTCTCTCTTGGATTTCGGATGGTGGCTTATGGGGAATGCACATTGAGAGAGACTGCTAGGTCCTCCCTGTACCATCCCGCCCCCCTTTTTGTTCCTCAGAACTGTTGATAATTGAATTCAGTCTAATACTTCATTTTGAGACAAGTCCCTTCAGTAAAATGTATAATTTTTCACAAATATTTGAGACCAAATTACCCCTGCACTAGCTAGAGAAAGGTGCCATCATTTAGGAAACGACACCTGTAACAATCGTACCATTAAAGTACTTTAGATGAAGGTTTATAGAACTTCTCATGAAACAGTACATATATTGTTTTATGACATTGGTTAACAACCCCACAACATGTCAATGCTCTGCCCCCTTCTTGACCTTGGGTTCCCCATTCTGGCTTTCCTCTCCCCTCCTTCCTTCTCACTCATCCTTGCCCCTGGGCTGATGTGCCCCATTAGTCCCATTTTGTCCTATGGGCCTGTCTAATCTTTGGCTGAAGGGTGAACCTGGGGAGTGACTTCATTACTGAGCTAAAAGGGTATCCGGGGGCCGTACTCGGGGTTTCTCCAGTCTCTTGTCAGGCCAGTAAGTCTGGTCTTTTTTTGTGAGAATTTTGTTCTACGTTTTTTCTCCAGCTCTGTCTGCGACCCTCTATTTGTGATCCCCATCAGAGCAGTCAGTGGTGGTAGCCGGGCACCACTAGTTGTACTGGACTCAGTCTGGTGGAGGCCGTGGTAGGTGTGGTCCATTAGTCCTTTGGACTAGGAGGTATTTTTTTAAATTTATTACTGTGGCATCTTTGGGTCACTTGTTAAATGAATGGACTTAAAGTATTTTCATGCACTGGTTTTCAAATGAGTAGGTTCCTCCCCTATAATTTGACTTCATATCTGAAAGGTCAGATTTCACAAGGCATTAACTATAGAAATCGAACAATCTCTACTCCATCCTCTGGAAGTTTCTGTGTTTTGTGCCATGATTACCATCAGTTAAGAGACTGCGTGGGATCTTATCTAGCCAGTATTTTACAAACTTAAATTTAGGTGACTTAAGGAATTATTGTACAAAATGCTACATAAAAAGAAGGTATTAGTATGAAAGCATCAGCACCTTGGTTAGAAACGTCAGTGTAGAAATAGCAACAAAGGCTGATTTCTTACTAAGAAATGTCAAGTGTGGAAAATCCCAGTGTACAATCATGCTGACAGATAAGTAGTTTAAACAGATTAGAAAATCAAGTCCTGAGTAATTCATTCACTCCTGCTTTATAGAGTAACTGTTAGGTCTAGATTTTGTATATACCTGAATCAGCCTGATAGACTTTTATACTTTGGGTTTGTAAAATAGCCAGTGGTATAGCAACCCTTAACAAAATAGCTCTCCATCCCTTCTGCTTTTCCCGAGTCAGTGGGAAAGGTTAAGCCTTGTGCTAATCCCACAGGTATATATGGCTTTGATTTGTTGAAGCAGCTAGCCAGAAAAATTCTCTATTTTTCCCACAGAACTAGAAAGCGCTAATGGTATGCTTTATGCAAAATACAGCCTGGTGGGTTACAATATTTTCTCAGATTGCTCTCACCTAGAAGAGATTTTTGTCAGCAGGGAAACAACGCAGAATTCTTACAGACTTGATTTCCACGGAAATGTGAAATCGCAATTGTGTGGAGTATTTCAAAGTGACACCATACCGAGGACAACAAAAGATAGGATTTATGTATGGTAAAAAGGCAAGTGAATGAAGCTATGATTTTATTTATGACTCTCAGTACATCCACAACGAAATAGATCTTTAAAATAAGCATACACAAGTATTGACTATTATCTACAAATATTTATTGTAACACTTGAATAGAACTACAGGAAGCCCTTGGCACTGATAGAAAATATTGATTCACTGTTAGGTTACAAAAATTTATACATAGCAAAATTTAATGCTCTTTACATAAAAAATATTAGACTACTTAAACAAAACTTTCAAAAATTCCTGGTAATAGCTACCAGAATTAGAAAAGGAAAATTAGGCTTTAGACACTGTCTCGTCTAGGAGAACACGGGATGCTAACAGCACCTCCACTGCTGGAAAAAAAAATATTGAAGTCTGTCATGCAACAGGAAAACAAAACACTCAAGCTATTCGGGAACAACTGTTCTACACAGGAGAGCTTCTCCCGATTAACAGACAGAAAGGTCCCAAACAGGCATTTAGGCATTAACCAAAGAAAGAATCCAAATGAAATAATCATACTGGAGGAATGTTCAACTTTAATAGCTTCTTGATAAAGGTATGCTTCCTTTCATTTTAATACATTTCTGCACACGTATTGTGTTTTAAAATCCAGGAAACAGCCAAACCACAAGTTAACTCTTAACAGGAATATACATAGTTGACTATATAATGCAGCCCCTTTGAAAAGCACTGATGCACCTGACAGTTATATGTATCATTTCATAGAGAACAACACAAAGTTGACCGTCACTAATACCCGATACCTAGAGTCACTTAATGTTCTGGAACACAATGATTTGGAAGGCAAGTTTCTGTTGCAAATGGCTTAATTAAACTCAAGCAGTTTTCTTGCTGAACATCAAACCTTATTATTCCAGGAAACTAAGATTTAGATAGGAAAAAATGAAATAAATACCCTAATTTAAATTACTTTAAGTATTCAAGTCTATAAAAGTAGGAGGTCTGTGGTCTCTTTGTAATTAGGTTTAGTTGGTATGAAATTGTAAAATCATCATCCAGACCACTTAAGAACGGTGTAGGATGGTGATCATTTTAATAAGGTAACACTTCTTAATTAAGAAAAACATTGATGGAACAAAATTCTGTGAAGGAGTTAGGGTCTCCTGTTGCAATATAAATTTTTAGAAATTTAAAGCAAATACTCATTAAGGCAGAGCTGACATTTATTTCCCAAGAAGAATGACAATGACTGGGTCATTACCATTTTGTTAAAACCTCTCATAAAATTGATCACAGAAGGCTTGTCAATGAGTCAGAGCCCAGCTTAGTAGGAACAGCAGAATTATGGTGGCTCATTTTTGCATTATTGAAAAATGGACTTGTGATCTGCTCAGGAAATTAATGTGTCCTGGACTTGGGGGGGAAAAGTCAGCTAATTTAAAAAAAAACATGTGTACTACTGTTTCATGAGAAACTATTTGTTTTGTAAGCCTTCACCTGAAGTACAATAAAAAAAAAAAAAAAAAAAAAGATCGATTGTAAGCATCACATTATCTTTGATTAGCCGAAATGTTAACAAATGTCAGCTGTCAGAAATGGAACTGCCATCTTATTACCTGTAGCAATACGCTGACTTGAGGACAGATGGCATATGTGAGTTTGCAGTCACAGGTCCCTATCAAGGAGCATGACTCATCCCATGGCCTGTCTTGGTACAATTACCCTAGCCCTAAGTGTGAACATGCCACAGATTTCAAAAGGATGAACCAATCATTTTGTCAAAGTGTTGCCCTTTTAAAATGGCTAACGTGAAACCTCCAATATATCTGTTCTAAAGGAAAAGATTTACCCACTGGAAGGCTTTCCTAGAAATACATCCCAGCAGCTTGAGACAGACAGGAAGTGTTTGGACTTCTACAGGAGTTTGGTGGGACACACATCTGTACTGCAGAGCAGCTGTCTGGTGATTTGTCAGAGCTGTCAATTCTTCGGCGGAAACACTCTGGCAAACACTTATGTGTAAGAATTGAGTTGTTCTTTTGAGCGAGACTGGATATCTTGCAGTTCCTGTTCTTCCTTTGCTTTGATATCCTGGTAAGCCTGCATTTTGCTTGCATCCTTTAAGTAAGCCCAGTTAGAAGACAGTATCATGAGGAAGTGGATCTGGAAAAGAAGGGTGAGCATGATGGCTAGTGAGCACGTCAGAAGGCAAAGCAAGCTGCTAGTCAGATTAGACGGTCTGTGCTTTAAAAAGGGTGTGGGGAGGTTATTCTGTATTAATAGTCACTCTGCCATCAGAGGGGTCAGATACTGAAAGCATGCTCTACTCCTTTGCTTAATATTAAGAGGCTGAAGTTAGTATACAAACATAATGAACTTTAAAAAAAAAAACAAAAAAACGGCCGAAGTTATTGTTAGGAAAAAGCAAAAATGAAATACGAGAGGGTGCTTTTTACCATTTGAGAGTAATTTCAAAGACTAGAGTTCAGAAACACGTGGTTTTATTTTTAAACGTGTGCTGCAAAGATCTTTTCTATCTGTGGTTGAAAATAAATTTCCCCAAAGGCCTAAAAGTGTGAACAATGTTTATTTTGGGTAAATAATAATAATTAAAAAAAAACTACATATTTAACATGGGAAAATTAAATGAATGTAAAAACCAAAATTAAGAACTATAAGCAAAGCATGCAGTCTTTGGGTTAACACATTTTTAGTAATGAAACTACATTTTTCATTTTATAACTGCCAGTATTGCATTTCACACAATGTCAAAGTCCTTATTATCATTCTTTACAGTTGACGTGGCAAACGCTTCTTTCTCGTTTATTTTCCTGCAAAATAAATCTACGTCTCCAGTTCCTGACAGTTCAGATTTCCTTCTAAACATATTTGAGACGTTCCAAAGCAGGCACAACTTCTCTTCCCATTAAAATCTTACGTGCAGTTTGAGAACTGGCTATAAGGAATCAGTTACTACTCACCAAAACACAACCATTTCACAGACTCTAAAGGAAGTGATTGTGTTGTACACAACATCCACATAGCAAATGGGTGCCTTTCGTCTTCACATTTTCATCTGGCTTATTTTCGCTGCATTTATTTGGGAATGAACCATGTGATCATACATGTTTGAAAAAATCAAATTTAAAGGATATTTGCAAAACGTTTTCCAGAAAAAGTCTGACAAAACAAAATCCAGATTAACATGGTTCTCCGTTTCATCTTCAGCACCTGTTCTCATTTTCATCACTGAAATTGGTTATCAAGCAAGCAGAAATAATGGAAGATGCAGGCATCAGTAGTTTTAATACTGCATTTAGAGATACTGCTTAAAGTTTCAGTTCAAGAAAATCATTTTTCCACCATGGCTGCTCACCAATGTCAGTGAATAACTGATCCTTTTCAAAATGTGGCTATAGCCAGATCTCATTCGTGTGTAACTCGTGTACAGTAAGTCGTTTTATTACTCTACCATGCGAAATGAGGTTACTAAAGCTATTTACAAATTACTGTCACAAAACTGCAGAAACCTAGCTCTGCTTTAGTCTGGGGTGTCAGTGATATTTCCCGCTACAGAGTATAGCTCTCTAAAGCTCCTTATTGGCCTTATGCAACTTAGAACTTAGTGCAGCAATCTTCCCGACTCTTAAACTTCAAAACCGCATAGTTATAGGTAGTAGCCATCATGTAGATCAGCTGGTGGAAGAGAACAAAACAGGACGGTGAGATAGAGGCAGTGAGGGCCGAGGCGCGGCGCGTCTACATGGGGACCGTGGCCCACCTGGGGTTTTTTTCCCCACTTAGCACACCCTAACTACTTTTCTCCTCTCCCAATACAAGTCCTCGGCTCTGCCCTCTGAGAGTCAGTGTGAGTTGCCGATAAGACCTGGATGTGGCTGAATAGGATTGGGAACGGGGGCAGCAGCAGGAGAAAGATGTGGCTAGATGCCTTATTCCCCCCGCATCTGTCCCAGCAGTCCGGTCAGCTGCAGTTAGCCCCCTTCCTGCCCAGCGCTTGCTCAGCCGAGAGCAACAGCCAGAACAAGTCAGCGCCGGCATTTGACGGGCTTTGTTTTTGTTCTGTTTATTTTCCTGGACTGTAATGAGCAGAAATGACTTAATGATTTGAAAAACTGGGAATGACTCATTTCACAGCAGCTGACATTTGCCCCGCACTCTACCAATCTGAGTTTGGATTTCTTCAAATCACAAATCAAGCCCCCAAATTACACACACGTGTGTGTATTTTTATATACACAGATGAATATTTCCACTTGGAAGTTAGGAATTGTTGGCAAGGAAATGGGCAATGCCTCAAGAGAGCATTTCCTCAAGAGGGCATTTGTCCACTTTTGAAGTTCTAGAACTAAGGGCTGAATGCAACAAAGCAATACACTAGCCCTAGTCGACAGGTGCTCCAGGTACCTGGGTGGTACCCTCTCTTCTTTCCACAGAATCCAAACGGCATCACCTACAGTCTGGGCCAGGGCAGGCAACTAGTACTTCCTGCAAACCCGAGCATGCGCTACCGTTACACAGGTGATATTTAACCACTGTTGAGTGCCGGGGCTGTTTGCTTCAGGAAGCTGTTAAGAGCTGAAAGGGCAATCTGTCATTATAGAGACTGGAGGGACGGGGCACTAGACTAAGGCAATCCTGGGGCCGTTACTCACCAGGGCAATGACGGTGGCACCAGCTCCCGCACAGGCCACGATGAATAGGTGATAGGACATGTAGAACTAGGAAGGAACAGGGCAGTGACATGAGCACTGGACACAGAATGAAGTGGCCTACCTACCCCATCCTGGGGGCTGCTTCTCCTTGCAGCTGTTCTCTGCCAGGCTGGGTGCAGGCGTGCTCTCTCTGCAAGCCCGCTTCTCAAGCCTGGCTGCACCCAGACCAGTGGAATCCGACTACCAGGGGCTGGGCCTTGGTCATCAGTACACTGTAATGCTCCCTCGATGACTGCAAAGTGCAGCAAAGGTTGGGAGCCCCTGCTCTGCGTTAATCCATGTTAAGAACATACACGCTGACTAGCCAGTTAAGAGAAGGGGCTGATTATTTCTTTTACTCATTGCTTTCCAAAAGTACCTTATGATCTTCTTAAATAAGCAAACTCCCACAGTGCATTTGAGAATTTTGCTTTATATACAGTTATAAGCCAATGACTGAAGAATATTCTAGGGCCAAGAGGTTTTAAACCAAGGTGTTAAGATTTACTGGCAATTAAGGATGGACGTGAAATAACAGCAATTCCCTCTGGAAGTATAAATGATTAATTGTGGCTTCATTTATAAAAATTTGGTTTATGCACATTCAGGGGAAGCTTTTCTATGAAAATTAATTACATTTGTTCTGCAACAAATGTCCTATTTTGAAAATCTTTCTGAAGGGGGAAAGAGAAGAATCTAGATAAATTTTCAGACTTAGCGGGTTTGGGATCACTCCCAAATTATTGCCAAAAGGAAAAGCTCACTGATTCCTAAGGACTGTCAGCAAACGGGTTGGACCATATGAAATGGCCATTTGTAGGTAAAAAATGGCTGAATAGTGATGATTACATTGAGTTCGGTCTTTAAAGACTCTATACAAAAGAGCTGTCCTTAATGGCATTGTAGCCATCTCTCTTGCTTTTCTACCTAGAAGAATGTTTGTTCTCAGCCTCATTGATGAGGTGGTGACATAGGAGTCCTCTGGGCTTACCTCATTTGTGTTGCAGATGTTCTCCAGGGCGGAGCCACATATTTTCCCAGGGAAAGCATTCCAAGGAATGATACCTGCAAAGGGAACCCCAGTAGAATGTTAGCGCGAGCCACAGTGCTCCATGCTCTTATTACGGCTCCAAATATAGAAGATTTAAAAAGATGATTACTGATAATCATTTTTGGCAAAAAAGCTTCACCAGCACTTATTTTAAGGAATAAGGACAATGACAGAGCCCTGGTGCCACAGTGGTTAAAGAGCTTGGCTACTAACCGAAAGATCAGCAGTTCGAATCCACCAGCCGCTCCTTGGAAACCCTGTGGGGCAGTTCTACTCTGTCCTATAGGGTCGCTATGAGTCGGAATCGACTCAATGGCAACGAGTTAGGACAGTGATACACAGCTAGACATTCATTTACGAATAATTTTAAATTCAACTTTCGGCTCTATCTGTAATCCATTATATAAAGAACAGTGTTGTCAAGCCTTGGTCTTTAGGAGATGATGAGACTGGTCTGAGGGGTGGTTTTGAGAAAGTTTCGTATTATGTTGTAAGATGTGGAGGATAAGCCACACAGGAAAGACAAGGCCGAAATGAAACAGCTGTCTCCCCCTAGAAAAGTTCTGAAAGGACAGTGATTTCTTCTTTGATTCTAATGAAAACCTCTTTTCCCCTCTTCGTTTCTACCAAGAACATGGTTTCCTACCGTCCTGACTAGAAGCACTAATTAAACCCCTTAGTGAGGATGCTGCCTACTCTTGCTCAGCAGGGAAGAAGACTCCCAAATTGACAGGAGAATCCAATAGCACCTCTGTGGCTTGTCAAAAGAAACCAACAGGTCCCTTAGTTTCCCTTTGTGAGGAACCCCTTCATTAAAAAATAGGCTAGGTTAGAGCAGTCAAAGATAGCCTTTGTAGGCTGCAGTCTGATGATTTTAAAATACCTCTGGATTTTCGCTTATGTTTTTCAGTTTTACACGAAGTTTAAGGAATTGGTCATTTAAAAAAAATCTGATTCAAAGAGTGGGACATGCAAATTACTTAAATTACACAGTTAATACTGTCGTGGATGGAAAGTTGGGTGGTACAAAACTGAAAAGAAATTAAGGCAAAAATGATACAATCTTTTTTACAGAGGATATCCAGAAGTCGTTTTAGATTGAACTGCAATATAAAGTTGATTTGTTACACCAAGCTTCTTTTACTACATACTGACCTTGAAAATTAACAAAATCTTGAATGAGACCCTTTAGCAACTAAAAGCAAAGCAATGGTTCAATCCAGAAAACGGAGCATATTTCGGGAAAGAGTATAAACTACTCTAATAGAAGACTATATGAAACAGATAACAATTAAAACAACACCCACATAATAATTAATGCCCAGGCATATGCACAAGAGGAGAAAAATTAATTGGAATTAAAAGTGAGTACCGTATTGCCGGATATCCACACAGATCTGCTCCACGCCTGCTGTCCCATTGGTCTGCGGTGACTTGATGACTTCACAGGTTGACCATATGTTATAGAACATAAACACGGGCACCGCAGAGAAACCAAAGACACCCAGCCAGGCCACTCCGAGCACATAGGTGAGGAAAACAAACTAAGCCAAGAACGAGAAGAAGAATGAATCATCACTGAAATCAGCAAAGATGCATTCCCAAGAGCAACGATGATGCATTTCTGGGCACAATACCGAACCTGTAGGATGAACTCAGAGGGCGGACCAGGCTACCATAGGCCAGAAGGAAAGCTGGCGTGTTGGACAGAGAGCAGGAGAACCGAGAGCTGGTAGCTGGGGACTGGTATTCATGCTCTCCATAACTGTAGGAGTCGTCCTTGGGTGGTGCAAACTGTTAACACACTCAGCTGCTAACTAAAAAGTTGGTGATTTGAGTTCACCCAGTGGTACCTTGTAAGGAAGCCCTGGCGATCCACTTCTGAAAAAAATCAGCCACAGAAAACCCTATGGAGCACAGTTCTACTCTGACACACGTGGGGTCGCCATGAGCGGGAGTCAACCTGAGAGCAACTGGTGATATAACTATAGGATCTAGAATGTTAGTGCTGGAAGCAACTTCTCGGTCTTTTTCAGTCCCTTCTGAACTAACAAGGACACAAGAGCCCAAGAGGTGATATCACTTGTCCAAGGTCACAAAGCGAATTAGCGACAGGGCCTCCCACATGTTGCTTTTTCTAAACATCAGCTCCGGAAAACCATAGCATCTTCTTCAACATGGGAGTCCCTGGATGCTTGCACATGCCACTGAATTATAGCTTCATATCAGTTTCTCCAAAATCACCTTTATTGTACATAACAGATGGGTGGCTTAGCAGGAAACGGCAAAGGCTACAGGAAGCACTCTCCAAAGGAACTCCGCTTGTTTTGTGATCCTGTGAAATTAGTGAGGGCATATGATACTTAAACTTTTTAAAAGTTCGAGATGACCTTGAAGACAAGCTTAACGCACAGTGAATCTGAAACAATTCTCATTTCCCTCCAGTTTTCGTTAGTCTTTGATTGACAGCAGCTTTGCAAGCAAAGCAATGGCTTAGGGAAAAACTCCTCCTGTTCACCCACACGTTGCCGTGGGCAACTTCAGGAAGAACATAATCATATTGCTTTACTTTCTTTATAACCTTCCGTCTTGACTACCCAGAGCTTTGAAAGGCTGCCTCAGAAACACCATGGTATTTACATTCTCCGAATGTGCACCCACCACAGGGCGTGTGGGCGCGAGTTTGGAGCTCTTTTGGTTTGGTGTTTATTTTTTGAAGCTGATGGTGGAGACCCGAAGATTCCACCTGACTCTCCGTACAGCATGACATACCTGGAAGATGGGTGCTCAGCCAGGGGTCACGCTCAAACAGGGCGCCTCCCGGTGGTCACCCCAGAAGACTGCAGGAACAGGTCACCTTTTCACCTTATTTCTATAACAGTGACACTTTCGGAAGCACAGCATTCCCTCAAATAGTCAAAGACGACGCTCTGCGCACTTTCGCCCTCCTTCTTTCCCAGTCCCTCAGAGCCACAGCTCCAGACTAGGGCTTCCTTTTCTTTCCAAAGAAAACTTGCCTTTCTTTTTAATACCGCCACCACCACTTGCAAAAGGGTGGTTCCTTGCCTTGACCAGCCTTCCCTTCCCACTGTGCTCAGGGCTCCACAGGGAAGACCAGTGCCTGGCAAAGAGAGCGCCCTGGGGCGCCATTCCTTCCGTGGTGGCCTCCAGCATTCAGTAAGCAGCAGGGCAAAGGCCTCCCAGACAGGACTAGTGGGAGGAGGCCTCCGGGGGCGGCTGTGCTCTCCTGGCTGGGAAGAGCAAGGAAGACCAGTAATCTTCCCGCACTTTGCACAACTGCCCCGGCAGTCATCGGCATGTTGCTCTAGCCCATCAGCCCTCCCCAGTCACCTCCCTTTCTCTAATATGCTCTAAGGCAAGTCAGCACCATGATTCCAGAGTGCGTGAGGCAGAAGGGACCGGTGACACAGATGGCACAGGACTAATCACTGATGAAGTTGATGAAGATGACCCAGGCCCTATCCGTGCAACCACGGCTCTCCAACCTTTTCCAACAGACCTTTTCTCAAACAGAATCGAGTACGTACAATAGCTCAAAGGGGGCTGTGCGACAGAGAGGAGTAGGGCAGCCCTTCCAGTGGCCAATTGGTACAGAGCCCCCACACCCCTTCCTCCTCCTTGAGCACAGCTCCAAAAGGCTGAATCGCTCAGCCATCAAGTGGTGATATTATTGGTCCTTGGGAGGGGTGTGTGCATGCGTGCATGTATGTATGTGTGTGTTCTTGTTTAATCAGTTACCCATAGGAGATTAGCAGCGGGATCCGAAAGGGGCCCAGACGGAGGGCCTAAGCGCCACTAGCTGGTTCTGAAGTCCTACAAATGGTGTTGTTTTAGCGCGGCCATGGACCCCGCCATGCATTGTGTCCTGATGTCCTGTCTTGAGGTGGTTTCTTCTCGAGGGGACAGGTCTGGGGTGGAAAGCAAAGACTCGAGCTGGGCCTATGCATGCTGCAAGGCACAGCTGACATGAGAAAGCCACCTCCTCCCCATCATAGGGGCACGCAGGGCCCCATGAGGGGCCAGGCCTGTAGACTCCAACTGGAGCTCTCCACATCGCCATCTCCTCCTCATGGGCTTGCTCCCGCCCTCAGTCAGACGTGGTTACATTTATAGCCTGCTCTTAGTTATGTGCTGGGGAATTAAGGATGGCCACGCCCGTGTTCTATGGTAGAATTCTCGCCTTCCATACGGGACACCCGGGTTCGATTCCCAGCCAACGCACCTCATGTGCAGCCACCACTCGTCTGTCAGTGGAGACCTGTATGTTGCTAGGATGCTGAACAGGTTTCAGTGGAGCTTCCATACTAAGATGGACTAGGAAGAAAGGCCTGGCTACCTACTTTCGAAAATCGGCCAGTGAAAATTCTGTGGATCACAACAGTCCGATCCACAACTGCTCCTGGGGACAGCCCAGGACCAGGCAGCATTTTGTTCCATTGTGCACGGGGTCTCCATGAGTCGTGGGCCAACCGGACGGCAGCTAACAACAACAACGTCTCTGCGTGGGACCACAGTGGTACAGAACAGAGCATCAGCCTGACAGAAGGCAGCTCAAGACGGCAGGAGACAGCCTGCTGGAGGGCAGAGCAGGGGTGGAACCAGTACAGCTGGCTGAGGGGACTGCCTTGGGCTTCCCCAGGCATTTCCAGAGAGCCCTGGGGAAGACAACTGGCCCCCGGCTACACTGGTGGCTGCAAGCTGGCATTTGAGAGAGGACTGACATGCAGACAGGACCTGAGGTTACCTCAACTTACCTGGGTCCTTTGGCAGCATCTCCCTGGCTTCCTCCTCCTTCTCTGAACTCCTTTGAATGGGACATTGCTTACCTCTCTGACCATTCTTCCTTAATTTGCCACGCAGGTCCTTTCCTTCTGCCTATCAGTAGACATTGTGTGCCCCGGGCTCCTTCCTTCCCCCCACTTTTCTGTGTGAACGTGTTCATGTCCACCGCTCTTACACTGCTAACTTATCTCAATCATCTCCTGCCCCAGGAATCTGTATGACTCTCCCGATAACTCTGCCTGGACCCACTGAAACCGTGGGCCTTCACCCCGCATCTCACCCTCACACCACAGAGCAAGAGTACACGTCCCCCAGTCTGAATCTGTCCCCGTTCCTCCACCCCACTGCCTAGCCAGGTGATAGTTTTCTCAAGTCATGAAATAGTCTTGTTGTTTAACCATTCTTAGCTCATGGGCCATACAAAAACAGGTAGCGCGTCACATTTGGCCCAGAGGCTGTAGTCTGCCGACCCTTGTCTTAGACTATAAGCTCCCTGAGGACAGGAGCCGGTGTTTTATCTTTGTACTCCCAGTGACTAATAGAGGCTCCAGCATACATACATTAGCTACTTGGTAAATACTTCCAGAAGGATTGTGACGATTTATGCTAGCACTTAAGTCTTTATGGCCACAACCTGTATTCAAAAACAAACAAAAAGGAGGATTGAGACAATATGAGACTTACCTCCTTCCACAGTGGGAACTTTCCATTTGAAAAAAAAAAAATCACAAGTAATACCTGTACATTGATAAGGGACACATTTGATTTAATACTACCAACCAGAGCTTTTATTATCCACAACATGTTGAAGGTTTTCCAATTTCTAACTCTAAATTGGTAAAAACAAGATTTGGGTCATGGACCATCAATCCACTCTGGATTAGCTCACAGCTTTCACCAAATACAAAGAAATACATCACAACGTGGCTCTCATTAGACAGTGGCTATTGCTTCTCAGAGATCACACTCACCATTCCGCTGATGCATCGGCCACAGGCGGTGGTTTTAAACTCACCGTGCAGTTCCTTCACTGCACTTGTGGTGTAAAAGCCTTCTGCCAGCAGAATGATCCCATACAAGAAGAAAAAGGACGCGATTCCATAGATGACATACTGCATCAGCTGGATTCTATGAAAAGAAAGCAGAGCTCCTGAAAGGATAACTTCACAGCGTGATGGAGAGACTACCTTCCTGGATTTTGGAGAGAACACACGAGGGTAAAGTTCCTGGGATGTCTCCCACCCCTCTGGTGCCTTCAGCTGGCTCATGGGGCATTCTGGGTAGGCAACCCTGCTTGCCCGTCAGCGACCTGGGCCTTGCTTCCAAGGTGGGCCCACAGTGGTTGAAGTGGACAACCTTCCAGGCAGCCGAGAAGTTTCCTCTGGTCAGGGGCAGGGGCCCAGTTACAATCTTTTAACATGTACCCATCGCGGGAGGTGAGGATTAGAATCCCCATTTTGCACAGAAGTAAACAGAGGCCTGGATGAGTTAAGTTACTCATCCCCAGGATACACGGTGGTAGAGCCAGCATTAAAACCCGGTCCAATGAATTCCATGTCCTTTCCACCATATCAAAATGTCTCTCAGCCAGGCTAAATGGTTAATATTATTCTGATAATCCCCCTAAATAAACACTCAGGGCTTCTTTAAGGAGCAACCTGGGCAGATGTTTCTGCATCGAGATTCTCCTTACACAAGTGGCGGTATGTCAAGTAGGTTTAAGATACAGAAAGTGACTTCACAACTAACTTTGTCCTATGGAAATCTGTAATAGCCAAGATGACTGGTCCTCAACCTTGGTCACCATTGTAATCACCCAGGGGCTTTAAAAAATACTGGGACCTGGGTCCCATCCACAGAGATTATGACTGAATTGGTCTGGGGTGAGACATGGGTGTGGGGTTTTTTTAAAAGCTTCCAAAAAGTTGAGAACCACTAATTGAGATCGCTAATTAATTAAATCAATACACCTTTCCCAAATCCAGTCCTGGCAAATATTTCTTGGTCTTCTTTGCCCATAGTTGGCCCTCACTGAGTCCCTTGTCCTGCTTGATCCCTCCTATAACTCTTCCCTCTTGCTCATTACTTTAGATGTCCTGCATGAACAAATAATAAAGAATAAAATTCCTAAAGACTCTTCCAATGTGTTTTCCATTATTGCTCCATAAAAATTTATTCATGTATGGTGTATCTTTGGCTATGTATATTTTCTCCAAAAAAAAAAAAAAAAAACGTTGAGAAGGGAGAGGGCTGACATGTCGTGGGGTTGTTAACCAATGCCATAAAACAGTATGTGTACTGCTGTTTAATGAGAAACTATTTGTTCCGTAAACCTTCACCTGAAGTACAATTTAAAAAAAAAAAAATCTAAAAAAAAAATTTATTCATGTTTTTCTCAGTCTGGAGGAACCCTGGTGGCACAGTGATTAAGTACTTGGCTGCTAACCGAAAGGTCTGCAATTCAACCCCACCCAGTGGCTCTGCAGGAGAAAGATGTGGCAGTCTGCTTCTGTAAAGATTACAGCCTTAGAAACCCTATGGGGCAGTTCTACTCCGTCCTATAGGGTCGCTATGAGTTGGAATCCACTCGACGGCAGTGGGGCTGGTTTCATTCTGGTGGGGAAGTTTCTCACAATCACAAGACACTTAAGCAGTATGAATCTCTGAGATTCAAACAGAGAAAAAACGCCAAAGGAAATGAAGACAGGCAGGGGTAAATATCTGAAGGCAATAAGCATATGACTGCTGAGCGGGCACAGCTAAAAGAATCTACGCACGGGAGTGTTGAGACTCTGCTGAGAATGATTCCAGAATTGGAAGTCAGAGACTGTGGGCTAAGCCCCTGGAACTTCCCCTTTTCTGCACTGAGGCTGCCCTGGGATTTGTCTTCTGGCGGAAGAGTCAGTGTTAAAATACTGTTCCTCTCAACTTAGAGTTGGTGTCAGTCCTCAAAGGGTTTCCTCTTGTTCTAGTGATAGACATTTCCGGTGAGAAAACTAGGGGGCCTGTTACTCGGGAGTATCGCTAACTCTCTGGAGTGATGACTGGCAGCGTCAACTTACCACCTTGCCAGAGTTCCCAAGTGCATGGCTACTGTGGGCTGAGTGTCTTTACCAATCCCAGGTGGGAGCCCATCCCGGGTCCCAAACACCCACTGCGTCTGGGCCCTTTCCTTTTTCTTCCCTCACAGACCTTTTTTATCTACATACAGTGAGCTTTAGTGAAAAGCATCCAAATCTGCCAGAAAAGCACATCGTAGTCCTCTGAAAACACTGTAGGCTGGCTGCTTTTGAAATACATTCTTAAAGGGAAGCAGATACTTACACCTCACTCAGCAAAGCGTGGTCACTGGCGTTGGTAGAGAAGTGTTGCTCAAGAATTGCCACAGTGCCCGCGAGAGCCACATGCCCGCAGCCGCAGAACAAGGCGACCCCAGAGAAGCAGAGGATGGTGGCCACCAGGGAGGCATAGGGGACTCCTCCCAGACACTTGATGCAGCATTCGAAGCAGCCTGGGCCCAAAGAAGAGAAAATGCAGCCGTTATGGGCAAGATGCCTCAGATCTTCACGAACACCACACATCAGCAGAGAAGCCTTGGCTTTCCCTCTTCCCCCTCGTGTGCTATGGCTAATACCTCCACATCCTAATGGCCAGTATTATTGGACTAGTGATTATCATCTCACATTCTGCGGGCGAGAGCCCTGGGCTCTACGAGGGAAGGTAGCTTACCTTGCCCAGGGTCCAGAACGGTGGTTAATGGCAGAGCAGTCAACTGGCAAATAGCCATGATTCTATGGAGCCCTGGTGGCGCAGTGGTTAAGAGCTCAGGCTGCTAACCAAAAGGTCAGCAGTTCGAATCCACCAGCTGCTCTTTGGAAACCCTACCGGGCAGTTCTACTCTGCTCTATAGGGTCGCTATGAGTTGGAATCGACTCGATGGCCCACAGCAAGTCACGATTCTAGAACTTCCTGATCCATGGGGGGACTCTAGTGACAATGAAGAGCACTCATTCCACTAACCAAGTCCAAAGTGAGGACAATAGTGATGCTTCGGCTCAGTGAAGAAAAGCAGCAGTCAAGTTTCCCCAAAGCTCATCCTGCTGGGTTATAAGTACGTCTATTTCCATAGCGGCCACGGGCTTGCCTGGAGCCTTTGACCTCTTGGGCAACCAGAAGAATCAAATACAGGAATTATACTGTTGCTGAGCTCAGAAAAAACACCCACGTGATCATTTTGGAAAGAGAATGGGTATTTGGGTCTTTTACCTCAGTGAGGTACTAGGTCACCAAGATTCACTCAAGTGGATCTACTCAAGTTCCGCTCAAGTCAATATCAGAAGGGACCTCACTCTTTAATAAAAATGCTCCCCAGTCCAGGCCAGCCTAAGCAATCTATTCATACTCCTTCCACCTCCTCCCCTCCCCGGCTTCCATCTGCCCCCTTCCCAACACACGTTCAGAGAAAGAAGTGAGAGCTGGTGGGCGATATTTAGCAAGTACTTGATGAGGAAAGGAAACATGAAAAAAACAAAAACAAACAGCAAAAAATGAGCATCCATGAAGGGAAATGAAGGAGAGAGCCACAATTCCCTCTTAAACTTGAGAAGAATGAGATTTTTTATTCATTTTTAAAATAAACCTTTACTTGAGATGTCCAGCCGATGTCCTTGGCAGAGCCAGGTGACATTTTCCACTCGGAGAGACATTTGTGTTACCGTAAAGCAGTACTGGCCTCGGGATAATGCCAGGACCACTCTTGACCTCCCATTCCTGCTTACATTATCCAGACCCTTAAGTAAACGGGTTGTCGGGGGAATAGAACTTTAAATGCATTATGGTGCTTAACAGTCATCAAGAGCATTTCATTACTCCAGGGTAAGAACATTAAGCCAGCTAATGTTCTTTCGCCCAAATGGCCTTCATAGGACGCAGGGAGTGACCAGCTAGCGCAAAAAACAGAGATGGACTTTTCCATTTTGATGAACATTCCAACCTAAATTGGCATTTGCTTAAACCTCCCATGGGCAGTTAACTAAGAACTCTCATTACCAGATTTCTCCTTAGCTCACTGGAAAATAGAAAGTGTCAGCCCTTCCTCAGAAAGCTGTGCTTCCTTTTATATTTCAATAGATGACTTAGCTGTGTTCAGAAGACCAACCCTCACCCCCACCCCGAAACGGAGTTACGAAACTACACAAAATGGGAACCAGCATACAATACCAGTTCAAGTTCACTAGCAAATCAGTACGTTAATAACCCTTTCGTTACCATTGGCGTAACTGTACACCAGTCACTTTTTATGCCTCTGGACCTTCATAACCAAAAACCCGTTGCCATCGAGTCAATTCTGACTCATAGCGACCCCACAGGACAGAGGAGAACTGCCCCATAGGATTTCCAAGGAGCAGCTGTAGGATTTGAACTGTCAATCTTTTGGTTAGCAGCCATAGCTCTTAACCACGGCACCACCAGGGATCGTTTTTTAATGCATTTAGCGTCAAGGTGGGTCCCTTTTGAAATGTGTGAAGCTCAGCAGACCAGAGTTAGAGCCTCATTGTTGTGTAGGCTGAGCATTCTACCAGGTGATGCTTCCAGGATGTTTTGTAAACTTCTGCCTTTTTCTCCTTTACTTCTGTGAAATAAAGCTTGCAAGCGTAATTATGGCTTTCCTGTGTGATAGTTAGGGAGTCCTGATGGGTTTGTTTTGGCTTTTCTGTGTCATATTTGGAAAACCAAGGGTTCCCCATGTAACCTAATGGAAAGGCGCCCACAATAAATTATATATCTAGTTCCTGTTGGTATACTGCATACCACAGATCAGTGGCGCCAAAGGGCCACTAGCCTTGCTGGTAGATTATATTACCAGATCATATTTCTCAAAATCCCTATTACCAACCAAAAATTTAAACACACTTAATTACTAAGCATGCATTCCAATACTGAAAACACATGACTTCAAAACTTTTTAAAAAAATAAAAATTTGGTAACGAAATGGTTTGAGAGATGTGAACAGAGACGGATGGTGGAGCTCAATTCTCATCTATTATATGGGGTGGGGTGCAAGGAATGCAACAAAAAGCCCAAATTCTCTCCAGGCTCCCAAACGAAGAGAAACTAACGTCCTTGGCCTTAATGCATCATGTTAATAGAGAGAAAATAGAGCAATCTGTGTGTTGCATCATTCACAACCTCCCCATGCTCAGCCTCTACGATGATGTTAAGAAGATGACTGCCCACTCCCCTGGCTAAAGCAGTTGTATCTGGCCCTTATTGGAGACGTGTGGCTTTGGGACTGTGATGTCCAGTGTGGTCTCCACTAGCACATGTGGCAACTTACATTGGAAGTATTCAAAATTAAATAAAATTAAAAATTCAGTTCTTTCTTCTCACTAGCCACATTTCACATGCTCAATAGCTACATGTGGCCACTGTCTACCGTACTGGACAGCGCAGGTCTAGAACATTCCATCATCACAGAACATTGTTTTGGAAAATACATTTTGACTTGCAGCATCTTCGATTTTCTAACTGGGCTCTACTCTTGATTCCATTGATTCAGTACTTTTTGAAGACCTACTGGGTGCCCAATACTATGCTTTGTTGGCACTGGGGCTACAAATATGAACTCAGATACCATCTTTGCCTTCAAGTAGGTCAGTCTAACGGTGCAGGCAGGCAAATTATTATTATATTATTGTTATAGTGCAGTGTGATGAGCACCCACAGAGACTGCTGGGGAGCTGGTGGACGGTGGGCAGAGAGGATGGGGAGAAGGGAGGAGAGCAGGGAATACAATTTACACTGGAGAGGGCTCCGGAAAGGCTCCCTACAGCAAGACCTAGTATGAAGAGTACCTAAACAGCTGACATGGTGATACTGATGATAAGCTCATAAGATGCTCATTAATTTCTGAATATTTTCTGTTGTGTATCTATGTTCTAATAAACCCAAATCCCTTCCCATTATTTGGAGTTTGGGTTGGGTATTATGGGATATTATTATTATGCCCTTTAATAACAGAACTCATCCTTCCAAATCCACAGTTGCCACTTCAAAACGTTCTTTCATCCAAAGGGTTATAGCATTCGCTTTCTTTCAGAGGAATATCACAGCTGCTCCCCAGCTCGAAAAGACAAGCAGAGTTAGAAGAATGATGGTTTTCAATCATAAATTCACCCCCAGATCAAGACTACAGTTACCCTCCAGTTGTTATCTCTAAAAGACTCTGTATGCCCTGTGCTGGGAGTCCAGTTTTATAACAGCAGGGAAAACCAGGGACTCAAAAATTTGGGGTATCACTTAAACGAATCACACCCTCTCAGCAGATGTAATGTACTGCCAATGCTTTTATGTTTTCAGCAGATGATTTTATTGGTGGCTATCAGAACTCTGCGAGCCCTGGTGGCACAGTGGTTAAGCGCTCAGCTGCTAACTGGAAGGGGAGCGGTTCGAACCCACCAGCTGTTCCTCAGGAGAAAGACGTGGTAGCCTGCTTCCGTAAAGATTACAGCATTGGAAACCCTCTGGGGCTTAGGGACCCTACAAGTCAGAATCGACCGGACGGCAATGAGTTTGCTTATAGGAACTCCAGCTCCTACAGACCAGAAATCATTTTGGTCATCTTTGTTCCACTCACACAGCTAAAACTCTTATGGACCTTGCCAGCCAATGTCACTAGAAGCTTGTAGCATATAACATGGGACGAATTTATAGGAAATAATACAGCAGGATACAGAACTTATTCTGGCTTGGTTAACCAGTAATCTGCAGGGCGAAAATTGCATGTGTGGAGTGGATCTAACCATCTGTAAATGGATCACTACCCGTTGTGCTTTGCATGTCAGTCTAGAAGCCATCTCTGTCTGCAGTGTGTAAGAGATCTTTGACCAGCGGGGTGATCTGGTTGTACGCTACCCACTCATCCCAGAGAAACCAAAACCACTGCACAAAGTGAGTAAGAAGAAGCTAAACATGCTTTCTAAACTCTGGTATCAATACTGCTAGTGCCCCCAATTCACAGCATTGCTAACCTGAAATACATGCAGGCGTGTATGTGGTGGAGGCAGAAGCAGTGGTGATGTGTGTTCAGGAGGCCTCATGGGTGAGCAACCTGTGCGATCATGTAGGGACCCACGCTCGGTGGCATGCTCTGCTGTTGCCATCTTGAAATTCGTAGGAATTTTTTAACAAGGGCACCTGAATTTTCATTCTGTACTGGGCCTACAAATTCTGCAGCTGGACCTGGGTGTATCTGTATGGGAGGCGAAAGGAGGGGTTCTTCTGACTTTGTATGCCCACAGTAGCATTCTGTTTTCTTTCATAGTATTAAATAGAAATACAGGCTAGAAAGGCAGACATCACCTTGCCTATCATGTCATCCTGAGGACAGTGGCCATCAAACACTATATCAAAGGACTAGCCATGGGCTCTGCAGTGTCTCCACAGAATTAATGACTGTCCTTTCACTCTGAAAGAAAGTGGCAATTACTTACTGTAGTATCCGTCACAGG